TCCCAACCCGCGTCACCACTGAGGCCTCGAGCCCCCCCCCCCCAATTAAATATGGGGGGGTACCAGGTACAAAATGACGGTACCCTAAAGTCGTCTAGCCAGAGCAAGGATTCCTGGGGAGACCCCAGCAGTTTCTGGAGCTAGAGCAACAGAGAGACGCCTTCGGGGCAGCAACAGTGTTACTATTAGGGGCAGGGCTGCAATTGTGCGAAACTTTTCTATTGTTGTAGAGCTTGGTCCAGAGCATATGCTCTTGCCATTGACAGAGGGGTGTTGTGACGAACAATTCACCGCCTTGAGCCCGGCATTGCAGGGACGCCACAATGCAAGCGGTTCAGCTATCCTCCAGCCGCTTCGGTCCTTTTTTGAAAGGTCGTCTCCACCATGTCAATGAGACTGGGAGGTGGTCAGATAATGTGCCACTTGTCCAAAATGGGCTCTCAAACAGGCGGCTATGCATGCAAGCTGGTCGGCAAGCTAATGGGGGGCCAGGAGACAGATTATGGTTGTGCAGTCAGACATCCTCCGTACAGGTGAACCACGTAGCATTTGCTTAGCATTGCAATGTCACATTGACGTCAGTAACATTTTTTTGGATTAAGTTTGACAGAGTCTGCAGAACCTTTGGCAGAATTACGCTGAGATTAATGTAGCCCTTGCTTTTTAACATGAAGAGTTCCTCTACAAATCATTGTTTGTTGTTCTTATGGGTAGATGCTGGCGTGAAATTCTGGTTGTTCTTTAGCCCTGTTGGAGTCGTTTTCTGTGCAAGCTATTCACGCTCTTTTCTAGTGGGAGGTTTTGGTTGGGACACCAGGTTAACGTCGTTTGCTGGACCCTTCTGTGAACCAGCTAGAATGCTATGCTTGACATCTAGCTTGTTACACAATGAGGCGGGTTTACTATCAACTTCAATCGGAAACATCTCCATATTTTTTGGCTGTTCTGAACCTATGGCTGATTCAGTCAGCAAAACTTGCTTGTTTTTGTAGGCATTTCGCGTGGTGACCGCCTCCAAGCACCGGCAAGTAGCAAGGAGGGCCGCCGACGGGGGATCAGTCCAGGCTACTCTTGAGACCACAGAGGCCCCCCCCAGAGGGCCCCCTCCCTCGGCGCCTGTAAAGCAAGAGAGTGAAGTGAGGGTTGTGGACATTGGCCCAGACACGTTCTCTTTAAGGGGGTACAGCCAAGACAGGCTCAAGTTCGAGGTAAGAAGCGACGATGACCTCAGCGTTGAGGTGATGCTTGAAACTCGCATAAGCAAACGCTGAGTGTGGCTTCAGAAGTGGTTGCCTCGAGGAATGTCCAATGCGCAGTGAAGTGGCTGCTTTTGGACTGGTGATCTTTTGCTGAGGACCAAAAGCTAGAACCTCTAGACATGTCAAACAAGGTCTGAGAAGCTCCGCTGATTGCTTCGTTTGGAATTACATGGGAAGTAAAGTGGAGTTGCATTGCGGGCCTTTGCACCATATGTCACCATCTCTATGCCTAACCGTCCATGTTAGGGTCACTGACCCGCAAGGGCTTTTCCAAAGTAGAAAAATGATCTTGCTCACGAGAATTCAAGGCGTTCGTGCGGCATTGCTCTAGGAGGTAACTGTGAGGTCAGAATTAGTCGACTGACTGAGTCCACTAAATTCTAGCACGTCGAATAAGTGAGTGATCAAAGTTTTGGGTGAATGTCACAAGACCTCAATTGGACGACTGAAGAGATCTGGACTTCATCCAAAGAACTTGAGGCGTATGTAAGAACAGCTACGCATCTTGTTTTGCAGATTGAGTACAACCTGAAAAGAGGCACCACCAACAACTCCTATCTGATCCAAGCTCAAGACGGGACCGCCCTCATCGACGTACCTGACCAGGCGTGGACCGACGCTTTCGTTGAGCAGCTGAAGACCAAAGTTGGGATTGATGACATCACGTACCTCATCTTGGGGCACTTCAGCCCGAAGCGAGCGGACAGTCTGGTGGCGCTTCTGAAGGAGCGCTCCTCCAACGGTAAGCTTGAACAGCGGGCGGGTGCACTTCTGTGGACCGTAGTGTTCAAAGCCTCAACCCAGTTAGAGTCCTGCTTTGCTGTCTACTTCACAGAAAAGCTTTGCTGATGCCAGGGGAGGGGGATGATAAGTGTGGAACATCTTCGTCCTCTGCACCAAAAGTCGGCAGAGTTTGTCTCTTTGATCCCCCCTCGTCTAATATTTCTTTACTAGTCCCTCCGGCAACATACAATTGTTACAATGCAAATGAGCATGGATGCAATCATGACAGCATCAGTGTCCTTGGGCGACCATTCGAGGGGAGCCTGCGCTAAAGGATCGCTGACTGGAACCGTCCCCCCGTCGCCCTCTTTGATTCGTCCTGATGAGGAACTTTCCACTTTTCCCCAAAAGTTGTTTCCTCAGCACCCGTCTTTGTATATGCAGCTCCGCCTCTGAAGGTCCACTGCTCGAATCCTGCCCGCAACGCTCTGCTCGAGTTGGATAACAAAGAGCCGGGGCTGACCGAGAAGCTGGACATCAAGGTTGCAAAGGCGGGGGATCAATTGGACCTTGGTGGCGGTGAGACTTTTTCCCTTCGTTTCTGAGTTGAGAAGCTCCAAACTCCAAGTTTCCCATAAGGGGCTGTTTCCTTGTTCTTCCAGGTAGAAAGTGAGTGACCTCGAGAGCCATTGGGTTCCGCGCTCAATTGAAGTGGTCAGTTCGTGGGGGTTAGGGTCCGGAGGCCTCAAGATCCTAATGAATGCGTGAACAGTCTTGTTGAAGAAACCTGAGGTTTGGCTAAGCTGGTGCTTGGTGTCGCCTTGCCGCATGATAACGCTGTATGCATGTCCAGTCGGAGCCTGGGTGTCCTTAGAGGGGGACACCTGGCTCGATTTGCTCTGCACAGTAATCATACTACTAAACACCGGGGTCACTTTCGTAGAAGCTCTGCGTCCCTGTTGTCCACACACCAGAACGTCCCAAGGGCTCACCAATCCCTTCGGATGAGGAGCTTACTAGGAATCGGAAGTTTGTGCAGAGCAAGAGCAAGGAAACGTGCAAGCAATCACTCAAAAGTCCCCGGACTGCTGCTTGCTTTTGCAAGGATCTGATTATGCACAGGTTCATTTTGAAATAACCGCGATCCATCCGTTCATTCAGGTCACCAGCTTCGCTTCTTCCTGACCCCCACGCCCAGATGGCCCGATGGGATGATGACGTACGATGCTGCGTCCAAAATTCTCTACACGCACAAACTCTTCAGGTGCGATTTCTTGCTTCAATTGCGCCCATGCTGGTGTGGCATCATTTGATAGGATCGGTTCGAGGAAAGCGGAAAATATTTGCTGCCTGGTTTGCAAGTTATGTACCCTCTATGATGGCAAGTTGACACGTGTCGCGTGTGCTTCTGGAGGCGCGCTTCCTGATCAGTCCGTTGTGTTCTGCGCTCAAAGACGCGTATCCATTCTGTCCGCTGCGCACTATCCACTGGCATCACGTAAACCTCTGCTTGATGTTGCGAAACACTGACAGCTGACGTCACGAACCGTCATCAGCTGATGACTCGGTACACCGTCCAAATGCAGTGCCCACGTGGCAAGCGAGAACGATTTTGACCGGGGGGGCTGGGAGGCGTTTGGCGTTGACTGGAAATACTACTTCGACTGCATGCTGGCACCAGTTGCGCGCCAGGTAAGGGCCACGTGGATCTTCCCTGGCTGACACGTTACTTCTTCCCTGGTCTTCTTGATATGTCTCTTCAAGGGCAACTTTGTGGAGGTCCTTAGATTATTGTAATCTAGATTATCGAGCTTTCACTGCATAATCTAGGTCATGTAGCGGCCAATCGGCCCGTTGGTTGTAACCAAGCCCTCAGAAGAGGCATGCACAACCCTTTGAGAGACCCTTCTCTTGAAGGTTACTTGTGCCGCCATAGGCCTGTGGAAAGTGCATGCGTAGTTGTTTCTTCTGCTTTCTTCGGCAATATATCCCGAAGGATTCTAGATTCGTCAATCGAATACCGAAAAGTTTTCTTGATTGTGGAGTTTGCGTTATCAATATGCAATCAATATCGTCGGCTTCAACTCGCCCGATTGGTCCAAGACGTCACATTTCCGTCAATATCCTACCACCATATCCGACTGGCCGGTTTTTTGCGCTTTGAGAGTAATTGACGGACAAGTGACGTGTTGCAGGCCGCCGCTGCATTGGAGAAGCTCCCAATTGCAGCCCAGATCAAGGGCGTCTCATACGCTGGGCTTCGGGGAGTGGAGATTGTGAAGGTAAACGCCCATTCTTTTGGCGGTCCGCATGCTTGCCAACATGTCTACTTTAGGTCATAAGCAGACCTACCAGTCGAGAATACGTGATGCCTCATCTGAAAGCCGATTCCTGCCTGATCCCTCTGCAAATTTTCATTTCTTTCTGGATAAATGAAAGCCTGTCTTTGATTCTCGTTCTCCTCTACGATGTTCACGTTCTTCCCGTGACTCGGGAGGCGGAATGCGCCTCGCAAGCCATGCACATTTCTTTCAACAGCTTACTCCTATCGGCTTGTCAAAGCCACGGAGGACCCCTACTTTGCAAGTGCGAGACTATTCTTGCGTTCCCGGGCGGCTTCAAAGTCCAGAAACGCGCAACTTTTGGAAAATTTTCCCTTTCTTCATCAGAGTTCAGCGCTCGAGACCGTCCGATTACGTCCTAAAACATGACGTCCCATCTCATGATCTCGCAGGCCGATGCGAAGTTCATCAGCCAAGTGCTGCGCAGCTTCTTGAAGCTTCCAGAAGGCGAGCCGGCGGCGGCGGAGGGCGTCATCGTCGTGAAAGCTCTGGCACCCATCCATGGACCAGTGGTGCGGTCGACTGTGACCGAGCTCGTCAGAGAGTACCGGGAGGTGAGGGTTCCCCCAAATCTACTCTCGGTGTTTTTACCAAAGTACAAAGTAAACGGAAGCCCCTTGATCGAGAATTTTGTCGGAGGATATGTGGATTACTGCGAGATTGAGGATCCAGTCGAAGAACGTGCGAAGTCACAACCAAGGATCTTGAAGAGAATATGAAAGCTGGCTGTTTTGAAGCCTGCCTAAAAGAGACAGAGTTGCGTCTGCTTTGCTTTGATTATTGTTGCGGCCTTCAGCTTGATTTACTTCGGGGTCGTCTGAACCCGACAATGTTTCTGGTCTTCCACTGGTTCATGTCCTAGAAGAGAGGTTCCACATATTGGATCCGTTCCGCACTTCCATGTTTCCCCCCCGCAAGTCGCTTCTTTTAGCAAGCATACATAACGACTTCAGACGTTCCAAAAGCTCAAGAAGCAATCTCGCATCAGTGACAGTGACTTTTTACGTCGGCTTCAAGATTGCCTCCTCTCTCTACAGTGGACTGCGGCCCAGATTCAGCTGGCTACGGAAGCCAGCATTGCCGTCATTTACGCGTCAGCGTACGGAAACACAGCAGCCCTGGCGCAAGCCATCAGGTAAGCTTCTCATGAGACTGTATTAAGTTGTTCCTCCGTCCAGCGGTTGGTCCATGCTGTGAGAGAAGAGATGGGCTGTGGATACTTCTTCATCCACCAGCGACAACTTTTGTCGAACCGTCGTCTGGAAAAGTATGCTGCCGCTGCCGCGCTAAACCTTTTCCACGATAGACATCCATCACCAGGCTCTTTGTGAAGCACCCCATCTGCTTATTCGACACGGTGATCGATCAGCTCTACTCAAATGTCGAGATAGGTGAAAGCTCAGACGTCGCTGACTTGTAGGTACTAAAATAAAAGAAGCAAAGCACCCTGCGTCGGTGTAACCACTCGTTTTGTGAACCTGGACAGTTGCATAGGGGCCCTGAAAAAGCGTTGGTCAGAAGTTTCCCGTACAACAATGCAGAGTCTTGATGACAAAGTTGTACCGCGTCCGTCACTCCAAATTTGGAGGGCTGGTCCAATGGTCTTCTCCCCTCACGCAAACACGCATAAATAACCCCACACTATTCATTCTCCACAACTGTTTCATTTTTATCGCAGTCGTGGAGTATCCAAGGCTGGCGTCAGCATCGAGACGGTGAACTGCGAGCAGAGCAGCGCCTCTGAGGTCGCGGAGATTGTGTCCAGAAGCGACGGCTTCGTGGTTGGCAGCCCAACGCTGGGGGGCCACATGCCCACGCCCGTGCAGGTAACGGGGCCTTACTGAATTTCAACAGTTGTGAGATACCAGTTTCGAGATAGAAATTTCGATAGGCATGTCAAGGTCGTCTCGTTCGTCATTCAGTTGAAGAAAGGGAAAGTCGTTCTCTGTGTATGTATGGACGTCGTGTGTTGTCGGATTGCATGGTCCTTTGTATATTCCCTCGAACTCCGGATTCCTTCCAGCCGTTATGACCCCTTTCTCTCTGGGGGTTTGGAAGGTTTCTACTTTTAGTTTCTTCTTCAACTTTCTCTCCAAACATTTTGCTGTTAGGAAGCGGTCAGTAACTGAAGCACACGCTGACTCGAATAGTTTTCGCTTAGGCCAACCGATTCGCATCTGAGTTTCCACCGCTGGCGCTCTGCGCGACTCTGAAGAGTCCCGGACAGTTTGACAAGTTTCGTGAAGTTGTTGTCCTCCTTATGCCCGCCTTCGCTTGAGAGTATGATCATCTACTCCGACTTTGCGCCCCTAGCTCCATTGAATTGATTGATATACTCCTATATCTTAGTTAGGATAGTTCTAGGTAGGATATGGTAAATGCCCGGAGAACGGGTAGGGTTAGTCCGGCGGTTAGGGTGGGTACCGGTGCGGAGCGGGTTAGTATAAAATCCTGTTTTGTTTCTCCCGGGAACTGGTTACCATCCTACCTAGAAAGTATCCTACCTAAACTGTAGGAGTAAATAAAATTCACCCTTTTTCCTGTCATTCCCGCAGCTGGCACTGGGCGCGATCCTGAAGGACCCCGACGCGCGCGCCAAGCCGTGCGGCGTGTTTGGCAGCTTCGGCTGGAGCGGAGAAGCGGTCGACGAGCTGGAGCAGCGCCTCAAGGACGGCGGCTTCGACTTCGCCTTCCCCGCCATTCGCTGCAAGTTCAAGGTCCGCCCTCTGCTGACGTCATCATCACGCTGCCTGCTGACGTCTCTCTGAGAGCTAGCTGATTGACCTTTCCGTGCTCGCCACTCTGTGGCAAATCGCGCTTCCTAATGCAGCATGAGGATTCAAAGCAACTTTCGCCTTCCCTGTCATCTCCTGCAAATTCAAGGTCGCCCTCTGCTGACATTATTGTCACGCTTTCTGCTGAGATCGTTTTAGGGTGTCGACTGGTCGAGTGTTCGTCCTTTCGTTGAGTGGCGGAGTGATGCGTTCCCTGTTGCCGCATGGAGGCTGAAGGCTAACGTTTGACTTTCCCTTCCCTGCTTCTGTTGCAAGTTCAAGTTCGCGCTCTGCTGACGTCGTCATCATGCTGTGCTGACGTCTTGCTTGGGTGTTGCTTCATCAATCCTGTGCTCTCTTTGTGTGGCGGAGCGGTGCTTTCCCTCTTGCTGCGTTAAGTTCCGAGACCGAGACATAATCTTGTACTTTCGCTCCTTGGAGCCCAGCAAAGTCATGCTTCAAGCGAGCATAGACTGCGTCTGCAATCCTGACGTTATGCTCACGTCATCTGACAATGCTGTCTCTTCTTCCACAGCCAACCGAGTCGATGCTCCAGACCTGCGAGGAGTCGGGGACCGACCTCGCGCAAGCGGTGCGGAAAGCCAACACGCGCGCTCGCAAGTCCAAGGAGAAGACTGCCACGTCACTAGCGTCATCAGCAGTGGAGCAGGCGGTGGGGCGCGTGGTGGGGTCGCTGTGTGTGTTGGTGTCGCGGGACGGGGATGCAGAGAGCGCGATGCTCGCGAGCTGGGTTAGCCAGGCGTCGTTCAACCCGCCCGGGTTAACAGTCGCGGTAAGTGGTTGGTAACGCTTGGCGTGTACGTGTTGTCTTTCTGTTCCTTTCTGTTGTTCGAAAATGGGTCTTGGGATTGGGACGCCAAGAGCGCAGGGCTTGCAAGCTGATCAGCGGGTCTCAATCAAGTGCCCGCAGTTATCATTCGGTTGCTCCCCACGCCTTCAGAATCTGGTTGCTTTGCTAGGTAATCTCATTGGCAGTTGGGCTTTTGTGATCTCGTCAAACTGCCACCGGATCTCTGAAGGCACACAGCAGGCGGCCGGCTTGCAGGGTGTTTGCTTGCCTGTCTCGCTATCAGCCTCGAAGAATCTCTGCCCTTTGCCTAGCTGTCCGCTACATGTGTTATATCGAAGCTTTCCTTTGCGCAGGTCGCCTGCCGGCTGTTGCAGGGTGTTCGCTTGCCTGTGTCGCTAATCGCCTCTAAGATTTCTGCCCTTTGCCTAGCTGTCCGCTATATGTGTTATATCGAAGCTTTCCTTCCCGCAGGTCGCCTGCCGGCTTCTGCAGGGTGTTCGCTCGCCTCTCTCGCTAATCGCTCAGAAATCTCTGCCCTTTTGCTTAGCTGTCCGTAATATCTGCTAGCTTTCCCTCCCGCAGGTCGCAAAAGATCGTGCCGTGGAGGGCCTCGTGTTGGAGGGCGGCCGTTTCACGCTCAACGTGTTGGGTCAGGATAACGCGGGCAAGGTTAGCAAGCAGCTGCTGAAGCCGTTCAAGCCGGGCGAGGCGCGCCTGCAGGGGCTGGAGACACAGGAAACCGAGAGCGGGGGGGTCGTTCTGAACGACGCGGTGAGTTATGGACGACTGAGTCACTTCTTCTCTTCTATTGGTTGCTTAAGGACTTCAAGTTCTCTCTCGTGCCACGGGTTTCTTGTGCAAAAGACAATCTTGAATTTAACTCTTGATGTATTGAACAACAATCTCTTGATTTGAGCGGGTGCAGTAAATCCAGAGCCAGGGCCCGTTCTGGGGGGCTGTTCTTTCACAAGTTGGAGTGATTTTGCCTGGAACTTCTCGAGGGCTTGGATTTTTTGCAGGTTGACAGATCTTGACCTTTTCTGGTTCTCGTTCTCTTTCGCATCCGTTTGCTTCAGAGGCAATCTCGAAGTGCACAATCAGGGAATGTCTTGGAAACCTGCGTATTTTAGGGAGCCTGAGGTTTTGGTATCAACTGGCTGGCACTGAGGCCCTTGCGGAAGAGATATCAACCTCTAACAATCTCCCATAAAGTGGATTCAATCTGCTCCACCCGCTCTACTTCCTAAGAATCATCTAAACCTTTATGTGAATGGCACAAAAGTGCTGTTCTTCGCGAGACTGCGGATGCCCTCACAAAAGATCTGCCGTCAATCTCAGAGATCGCCTCTCTTAGCATGCCGTTCTTGAGACAACAGCCCGTCTTTGTGCGTCCCCTGGGTTTTGGCTGTCAGTTCCGGCACTTGCAAATCTGCTTGACAATGTTGCCGTCACGTTTCCTCGTGCAGATTGCCTACCTTGACTGCATGGTAAAGAGCCGAATGGAGACGGGGGATCACTATGTTCTGTACGCAATTGCAGAGAACGGGAAACTGCAGGTATGTATGGTGCCTCCCCGAAATGTCGAAAGATTCATTTTTGGTTTTGCTTCTACCACCCTCCACTGATGCCGGCTTTCTTGAGGGTTTCCTTCGTAAGTCCTCAGCATAAGTCCTGCGGCTTTTGTAGTTCATGCTCATGGAAGGGTTCAGCCTTGTGTATTGCGTGCTTAAGAATCACTTTAAAGGAGGGTGTACGCAACATGATGCATTGTGTCGAGACTGGACTAGCGTCAAGCTTCTGAGAGAAGATATGGCCAAAGTTGCGCCGCCTTTTAGAAATGGCTCCAAATTCTTTTATCTCTTCTCTTGCAGAACGACCGTGTGCTGACCGCTGTTCACTATCGGAAGACCGGGGCCCGGTATTGAGGACCATTGCAAGCTTCCGTAGTCTATCCCCGTGCTTGGATATTCAAGACTTCCAATTGGGTTGATGCTCCTTCTTGTTTCTGTTGATAGACGACATTGAATGCTCCCGGCTTGTGGTCGCGTGTACAAATACTCAGGGATCAGTGTTGCGTTCAGATCTGTCTTCGGGACTGAACGAACTCCTTGCCTTTCTGTATGGGTTGCTCGACAGTTTCGCATCGCATGTAGTGACTTTGATTCAGGACACGCCATGACACGGATCATTGCATGGACAACAATAGTGATTCGTAGTAATCCACGCATGGCAGCTTGGGTATTGGCATGGTGTAGATTCGAGCTGGCGCGGCCTAGATCGTTGACGTCCCACAAAGTGACCCGACTAAGTCGTTTTGTAGTATGATGGATACTGCTCATATGTTGGATGAGGTGCAAGTTGTCGGAGGCTCGCCGTTCGCACCATGAGTGCGATGGAGGTTATCATGCAAGTAGGCAATCTCGTCTACAATGCTCGACCTAGCCATTGGTCGATCGTCCAATTGATATGTAGAATGACCTCCGATTCGCTGCTACAATGCTTTCAAAGTGGCACGAAAACGGCCGCGCAGATGAGACGTCTACCGTATGCTCTCGAGTCTCTGTGCATGCAGGTAAACGGTGACAGGTGGATTATTCGACTCCAATTACATGTAAACGCTGAATTGATTATAGGCGCGCCGAATAATATCTAACCTGGGATTATCTTAATCATTAGGCGGCATGAGTCACGGATGCGCTCTAACTCCATGTGCGGTTTGCTGCTAACCAGCCCTGCAACCTACGGTTGTTGGCGACCATGGAGCCGCCGCGAGTATGGAGCCGCGAGCGGCTGAGCATTTTCAGCCGGGGGACACGGTTGAGTCGCTGGCTTGTCCATCGAAGCCGTCTCTTTCCCGTTGCTCATTAATGTCCTCCACTACGTCCTCCCAAGCACTCATCTGAACCGTCCGATGGCTTTAAGTCAGAGGCTTATCCTCTACAGGCTCGGCTACCGATTTGAATTAGTCAGATCGATGGCATTCGACGTCGATGCAAGTCCCCCTTTACTCAGGGCTCGGGAGAAGGGAGAGGAAGGCGGGGTCCCGGGCCTGACCGTGCGCTCCCGTCATCGATCAGGAAGCGCAGGGGGGAAGGCGCTTTGTTTGGGCAGGAGGGAAAGTGCTCAAACTGGGAATCAGGGAAGGTGCTCGAACAAGCAAGAAGGGGCTCCGTATACGTAGGTGGTCATCCTATTAGGTGAAGCGGAAAGGCTGTTCATAGGGAATTGTGATACGGTAGTCAAGTTCAGCGGGTGGCCAAGGTTTTGGGAGCTAAAAGATGTGACCTCAGGCATAACACCTTAAACCTCGTGTTCCTGGGGACAAAGGCCTGCTTGCAGCATCTGTTGGCTGGTCATAGGGCTTGCAAGCCAGCAGGTTTGCAGTGGTAAAGGGGCCAGCTCAAAATAGCTTTTGGTAGGGGCCTGAGTGTTCCTTGTTGCGAAGAGTTCGTCTAGGGTTGCGCCCTTACTTCTAGATCTTTCTGAATCTCAAAGGTGGCCCCTACAAGGTGGGAGAGATGACAGAAGAGGTAGCCAGCGGTTGGAGGGGTCCTGGGGACAGTGCGCAGGCGGAAGCAAGGCGCGAGAGACGGCGCAAGGGTCAGGAAGGGAAGGCCCCTTGGCAGCCAATTGTGTTACCTGACGATGATGAAGAGGACAGGCCCGCTTCTTCTGCTCGGAGTGGGCCTCCACGTCCCCCCTCGGCACAGGTAGGTCAATAATTAGCCAGCATTCTTTGGCCGTGGCGTCTTGAAATTGCAGATGCTACAAGTCTTTGTTGGTTTAGGAACTTACATCCGGCTTTCTTAAGAGTTTGAGGCTAGGTTGTCATGCTGGCTACTCGTGTGGAAGGTTGAGAACGAGTCTAGACCTGTGCTCTGGCTTCAATGATCATGCAGCTCCTGGATTGCTTCAAGAGGTGGATGAGGGTTTGACAGTCAGGTTGAAGTCTCTTGTCTTGGTTGTGGTGATGCCGCTGACAGGTCATTGCATGAGCAATTTTCACGAGCCCCTCAATGATGTTCCTTCTGTAGGTCTGCATGAGCGTGCCTTGTTGTCTTGCTCTAGGACTTTTGAATGGTCATGAAGTCTTATCTTTGACTACACCATGCTGTGAGGACGATTTCTTGCTTTTGTTGGATCTTTTAACGAGCAAACCCTAACCCCTCAATGCTGTGTGAATATGTTTGAACCTTGATAGCGCCAAGGACCAAATTTTAACATGTCTCTCGCGAAAAGACATCGGATTTAAACATAGACTGGAATGGACATTTTGTGGCTTACTGCGACTGCGAAAGTAGCTCACAAACAAGCTGAGAATCCCCCTTTAGCAGGCTTTTAGCAGTACGTTTATCTGTCCTTTGCTGCTCTAGGTCATCCACCAACACTTTATCTGATGAAAGCGCTTGGCACTGCTGATCTGAGCACGTTTTCTTCTGCAGCGCACTCCTTCAAACCTAGGCTTGATGCCGTCAAACATCCATCGCTTTGATCCTGAGATGCTCGCACCAGCTGCTTTCAGGCGGATTGCAGCTCGGTTGCACGCTCAACAGCAGAGCATGTGGTCAGCACGCCAGGCAGGGGGGTCGGGTGAGCTCAGCAGATTGCGACGACCATCTTCTCGTGCATGGTTTATAGATAAGGTCTGAAGCTTGCTGCTGGTTTTGAAACATGTCGTCTGCTTTGTCGAGCGGTGCCTAAGTACCTTGCACCTTTTCTGGTCAAGTCCAAAGTCAGCACGGCAGCGTGACACTCTTGCAAAGTACCCAGGGCTGCAAGTTGAGTTGGAAGCATGGCCAGAATTTGGCCAGATTCACTGAGACCTGCAAAAAGTACAACTTTTTGCACCTAACAAATCTGCAGCACCAAGGATGGGCTCTTGTGGGATGACTTTGGAACGTCAGTCACCTTTAAATCACATGCGCCAGCCAGCCTTATCCCCTGTGACGTCAGTCTAGTGTCAGCCACGTGCTCCAAGGGGGCATGTTGGGGTTTGTAGCCGCATCCCAACCGGCATCATAGTGCACCAGTCCAGGCATGATGTTTCTGGTGTCCCTTGTGTGCATATTGCGTACTATCCGTGCTGCTCTGTGCTGGTTTGGGTGACTGTGTTTCCTAATCCAAACCTCATCTCCCATCTCATCTCATAAGTCCAAGCTGCTGTTTTGCAATACTAAGAAGGGACGTTGGGTTGCGCCCTCAGTAAACCATGTTCCAATCCAATCATTTTTGTTATCCAGCTGCGGGTTAGTGCTTAACCCCATGCTGACATGTGTGCAGGTTCTGTGCCAGCTGGCGCCGGCCCGTCTGGCAGAGCGCCTGCGGCCTCCATAGATCTGACGGACGACTGTGTTGTATTAGATGAGGCCTCCGGCAGCAGCACACTGAGGGTAAGCCCTGATTTTACCTACCTTGTGGTGAGCAAGTTTCAGGCTCCGCACTCAACTTCCGTTCTGAAAGGGTTTGATATTCAAAGGGCAGCAGTTCTTGATGCTTTGTAACATGACAAGAATGGCAATTTTCTACCTTGCCTTGCTTTAGGACCAAGTCTGTACCACAGCGCAGAGGAGTGCTTTCTTGAAGTGCCTTCGGCAGCTCTTACAACCGGTGGACATTCTACTGATTTTTGAGAAACTCGTAATGTTTCTTGCAGGGTGTCAAAAGGCGGCGCACTGAGACGCCCAGTCCCTCGTTGCCCCCTGAGCTTCGGCCAGGTTTCGTCGAGCCCCCTCCCAAACCGGACCGGGAAGTCAAGTTCACGTGCAGTATCTGTCTAGAGAACATGAAGGAGGAGGCGACGACAATCTGTGGGCACATCTTCTGCAAACAGTAAGATCCCTGCCTCGCAGTTCAAGTCAACCAGGCCATGTGGCTAGAAGCTTTGCTGGGTTTTGTGTCCATCTTTTTCCTTGGTGTGATTGCTTCTCATTGTGTTGACGTCACCTCTCCTGTTATCACAAGTGCCAGCAATCGGGGTGTAATTTTTTGCGCTCTGTTTGGTGCAAGTACTCATACTGTCATGTCATGCTAATATGAGTACTAGCACTATTCATACTGTCATGTCATGCTAGTTTGAGTACTAGCATCACTTTTGCAGATTGGGAAAGAGAGTGTTTGATGCAGCCTCGGAATGTTTCTCCTGGCAAAATGCAAGCTGCCGGAATAACTAAAGAGTCTGATTGTCATTTCTTGCAGGTGTATCTTAGACTCAATCAAGGCCACGAAGAAGTGTCCTACGTGTCGAAAGAAGCTAAGCTCGAAGGACGTCCACCGGATATACCTTCAAAGTAGTGCGTTGTAAGTCATCTGCTTGCTTGGCAAAGCGACTGTTACGTAGGTGCTGTCTAGTCAGAAGGTGGTCATTGAACATCTGAGGTCCAGGTTTGCTCGGTCCTTTCAGTAGCTAGTGCCGCTAGATTGCAAGAAGGTTACAGGCATGGTAAGGTATTAGTTGTCGTCTTTGATCTGGTATAGAGCCCGCCAGATTGGAACGCAATGGCAAGTGCTTGGGAAAGCGTTTGTGGCCAAGTGTTCATATTGTCAGAGCTTTTGGCGATTCGTGCCACTCTTTGGTTGATTTCACGGGCTCTTCAATCACTTGCCAAATCGATCATTTGGCAATCATCTTTCAATCCGATTTAGATAGGACTTACGACTATTGAGACTCTCGCGTTTGACTCTGCTCGGAGCGTGAAACCCCTGCCAGTTTCACTCCGATTTCAAATTTTGCCTGCGCCCAAGCCTCTGCCATTCGTTACATGACGTGTGTATGTACATGTGTATCGTGTCGGTACCTTTTTCCCCTTCAGTGAAAAGATCCCCAAAGCTATGAAGTACGGGGCAGGGGTTTTTTAACGGTCGGCATGGTGCACAGTGTAACATGTTACACTGCAATTGCTTCTGCGCCTCTCTGCGGTCTACATCCCTACCAAGATTGTTGCCCGCTAATTAGTGCGAATCCTAGTTCCAGCAGATTGCCCGGAGGCGACAAGTAGCTAGCGGAGTCATGGTTGCTTTCACTAGCACGTCACTGGCAAGTTTAGTTGTAATCCGGTAAGCTGTTGTTAGACTAGGTTTGGTGACTAATTCAGTGTACGCACTTTGATTTGGTAAGGTAGCTAGACGTTCAAAACCCAAACAATTCCCATGTATGCCATGGAAGCCTATGGCCCATGTGGCTACGGCGTTTGAAAAGAGAACATCATTCTTTTCATAACGACTTACTTGCCTAGTTGGTCACGCGTATGGTGTAGGAATCACCATATCGACTCTCAGGGTCTGAGTTGGTCCCTCAAAAGGGCAACCAGGCCGTTTACAAATCGCATACAGCCTATATGTAGGTATGCCCCTTCCGGCCACATACATCATTGTACTCGCGCATTGTCCCATGCCAGTGATCGTGCTACATATACGATCTGAATACCAAGTGATGATCTCTATCGCCTGCGATCGAGACTCGCAGCCTTTTGGCAGCTCGATTATTTGAACAAGCGTCATTTGAAGAAAGCCTTGACACAGAACAACACATGAAAACCAAACAGCAATTAAGCGCACTAGCATGCATAGTTCTCCCGGAGTCCCCTGGCCCAGCAGAGCTAGGCTTACCGCCCTGCAGACGGTTGGATTCGGACGTACGTGCATTCTGATCCCGTACTGCAATTCATGAACACTGACATCTTGAAGGCTCGTCGGATCATCTTAACGTTTCTGCGAGTCTTCTCCTCGATCAGGTATGAAGACTCAAGCTCCTCGCGGCTGAGAAGGAAATGATGATGTGCTAGAGCCGGGTTGTGCAGTGGTTTTGTTGGCTTTGACCTTGCTGGCCTAGTGATCATTAGCACAGGCTAAGTTTGCAGCTGCTGTTGCAACTTCCCACTGATCAGCGTGTCACAAGCCTAGGCTAATCTTGAGCAAATCTCCGGAATGATGCGGTAAGGCGGTAGCTGAGTCCCCGGTAGCTCTAGCTACTGGGCAAAGCTTGTGGGAGTCGCAGAACACGTTTCTACGGCCAAGTCCTAGGCTAGGGACTTGGCCATAGTATAGAGCTTTGGTTTGCAAGTCAAAAAGCTAAAAAGAAAGCAGCAGGAAAGGACTCAAACTAACTACAGTGTAGTCAGTTAGTACTACGGTACTACGGTAGGACATTGATTTGGACGCCACTATAAGCTAGCATGACAGCGCGTTTGTTTCTGCTTCTTGGCATGTGTGGATCATTCGTGATTCTCAAATTGTACGTGATCACCATGCCCTCAACGGGCCTGAGAGCTATATTATATTGAAGCATGGAAGTCGGAACAAGTGTCTGACTTAGTATATCACACAGTTAATCATTCTCGCTATCTTGGGGACCGCAAGTGGTAATGCTTCCGGCTCTGCCATTCGTATTATATATGCAGCCAAGTTCACTGATCGATCGACATGCACTAGTCCCGCGCTGCACTGAAGCTGTCCGAAGCTCAATGATCGTCATGATGTCGCCATGGGCGCATGCACTGCCAGGCTTCCATGTATATGCATGCCCGGCCATGGAGCTATCGCAATCGGACCAGCGATTGGTTAATTGATGCCGCATGTGCTCTGGGCGGCGACAGCGTATATACGATTGCCTTACACGGCATGCCCAGGCGATGTACATCGCACTTCACGCGAGGCGCGACCATTGCAGTGTGCAGTGCAACTTGATTAGACTTTATATCAGCTGCTCTCTAGGTTTGGCAACATGCCATGGCTCCAATTACCGGTCAATAACAATGATATCGGATCAAGGCAGCCGCCCGGGCAGCTGCACGCAATTAGACAGAGCGCCGCGCCATAAGAGGCTGCGCCGGGTGAAGTACCTCGATTTCAGCGGGAACATGCAACCGCGGCCAAACCGTTCGCTGCTTCAAACGTGAAAACTTTGCGGCAACGTGATTCCTCGTGGTCTTTCTTTGTGCAAGTTTGATTGAAGCAACCACGGGACTGATAAGAAGCACCTTTCAAACATAAGAGCTGCATGATTGTGGAGCAGTGGGCCTTGCTCAAGCGGGAGCCGAAATCCATCTGGCCTCCGCAAACAATCAACCGATTGCAAGGGCAATCTGAATACAAAGCGAGCCGCTTGGAATAAGTTTGCCGACTCAAGCTCTAAGAGGGCGTGCAGGTGACACCTAGCACGGAAGACTATCTACAAGAAAAACCGCAGGTGGTTTCGGGTGCGCCTTGCCACGGGAGTCCCCAACTTTCTGACCTTCTGCACGAGGTGACAAAGGTATGGTCAAAAGTGTTCGAAGGTGTTTGTCGACGGTGAAGTGGGTCTTGATCCTGCGTAACTTGATTTCTCCATCCGAGCAGTAAAACTTGGCAGATGCTTCATGCTGGTGCGTCAGAGCCTTCAAACTCTCAAGAGGGAAGTCGACTTTCGTCGCGGAACAACCGCTAAAAGTAATTCGGCTATGACAACAAGGAGCGTCCGCGTGTGAGCCTTCCGCTTGGAACCAACAAATGTCCACGTCGATTCTTGTGACCGACGTTCAAGCAACACCTTGTCCTAGGTAACGTTAAGCAACAGGAGAAACGTCCGTACGACGATGCAAGAGTCTTACCGTCCGTCTCGCGTCACGGACGGGCGAGCCGTCCGTCTCTCCGAGGGCTTCCTCCAAATCGACAATCCGCTGAATCGGCTGTAAACGGGGCCGCTTCTTCTTCCCACTGCAGAACACAAACATCAAATTCCTGAGAAGGGAATGCCTGAAAAGCCACCCGTGAGTCGCAATTCAATTGCATCAACCTCTGTGTCAACCACGAACTGATTCAGCGTTTCCATTTGAAACACACAGCAAGTTTTGTGCAACATTCAATTGACACACATTCCGACCATGATTCGAAGCATACATTTAAGCGCGTGCTGTCTGATCACACAGCCCGTTATTCTTCCTTCCCGATTCGCATGTCGTGTGCACGATACGGCACAATCTGCCAACCTCCAAACTCACATTCCGGCCGTTGCTTTCACCCTGCCTTTATGCGCATCCCCTCCCGGCAATCCGCTTTCTGCAATGCGCTCCCCATATCTTATCGCCAAAACCCCCAAACCCCGCAACTCGTCCGACACAATCGCTTCGGCAGGTTGCGCCTCGTCTGCAGCCTCCCGCTCTGCGACGTGGCCACCCGACCCCGCTGCCACGTCACTTTCCTCCCCTTCCGCGCTGAGGTCGACAAGGACAGCTGGCGCTTTTCCCGGTCGCCGTAGGTCGCCGCTTTCAGCTATCGTCCCCGCCTTTTCCTGCACGGGGGAGGCACTTTCCGGCGACTTTTCCGGCGACCCACGGGCGTTAACGCTCCCGATCGGCACCACCTTCTTCGCTCCTGAGTGGACGTACGGAGACTCTCCGGGGAAGCACGTCGACGTCAGCAAGCGGGGTGACGTCAGCTGCTCGTCAGACTCGTCCTCTTCCGAACTGGATTCCGCTTCGGAAGCCTCATCGGAACCGGTTTCCGGCCGCCTTTTCGCCCGCGCCCGCTGCTTCCCGTTCGTCTTTTCGGACGATCCCCCGGTGTTTTGGACCGGTCGCCGAGACGCAGCTCGCGTCTGGCGCTTCAGCCTTGGCGTCAGCATTTCCACCCGCTTCACCCGGGCGCCTTTCGCCACGTTTCCCACCCCCCCCCGGCGCCCCGCTGTCTCTACCCCCCCGCGGGTCCGAGTTTTCCTTTCCCAGGCACGGTGCGGCGCCCCGCTGGAAACCCTCGGACCGTAAACCCTCGCGCGCGCGCGCGGCCGCGTCCTTGACCGTCTTCGCACTCACTACGGCGCCGAAGGTGTGAATGCGCTCCGCGGCCGCGTCTTTCCGCTTCTCCAAGGGGAAGAGGGCGCCGGAAGACGGATCGCGCCATCGCTCGGACAGAAGCGTAAAGCAATACCTGCCACGGAATGGGACACAAGTGAATGAGTGTGACTTGAGGAGAGAAGGGTCAACAACAGTTCTTCAACGTTGATTTGGTTTTTTCCAAGACCCTTGAAAGATGTGATCTAGCGTTGGCAGATAAGCAACGAACCTATGCATGTTTTAAATAAATGCAATGCATGAAACCACAATGGAAGAACCTCAAACCTTTGCATTACGAGTTGGAAAAATATCCAACAGTCATCTGCCATTCCAAAAAGGCAATAAAGAGGGGAGATGTGGGAAGCACAGAGATGAAGGCCCGCACTCACCGCAAACAAATTTGCTTGTCGGCAGACAGCCGCAGGCCCTGAGTCTGCTGATAGTGCGCTATGTCCAGCGCGCCTCCTTGCTGCGCAACCAGCTCGCGCAGTCGCTCGCTCCGCTGTCCGCCGACCGCGTCCAAGAGCGACGGCAGCGGAACGCCAACCGTTTCCTGGAAATGTGAAAACGGGGCCATCGTCCGAAAGCTTCGACGAGCGAAGCACTAGCCGGAAGCTAATGTCGTCGTCTGTTTTCAAATCGTATGTGTTTGTGCTACCTACGCTGAATTCAAAAAGAAGAAGTCTTCGTCGCCAAGAATCCCCAGGAAGATGCTGCGACCAAAAGTCGTCCTTTTGCTGAGCGCGAAGTGCTGGTTCACAACCGTCAAGAAGAGACCTTAATCTACAGCTCGTGAGTTCTGAAAAGCAACCCCTGTTTCCAGTGACTTGGAATGGAACCACTGACCAGCAATTTCCTTCAAGGGGGATAGGTTACATTACTCGGAAGAAAACCCACCTCAAGCAGTTGCCCAATAGGTCCCCGGTTCACCCGCTTTCCCTTTACACCGGCCCCACAACACCCGTCCTCTTCTTTAACCCCATCGCCCTCGTTCACACTGGCTCCATCCTCGGGGAGTTTTGGCACGGGCCTCAACGGTGTGAATAGGGCCGCCCGCCTCTGCCTCCCCCGCTCGAATGGCGGCAGCCGCTGAATGAGGTCAGCAGGGTCCTCTTCTTGCTCGGTTAAAACTACCGGTCCATTTACCCGATTGGTTTCGCTAACCCCGGGTTCCTGACCCGCGTCCGGAGAATCTCTGCTGGGGAACGGCATCGCTCTGGCCCGCCCGCTTTGATCTTGCATCTGACTTTCGGGTTCCGAGGCTAAACCCTGGTCAGAATCCCCGTTCGGAACCGGAGAGACGCGCTTAGGGTCGTCCGCACGAGTGGCTTGGAAAGAAGACCGGGTTAGCGCTGGGTTAGGGACGTCCGCCGGGCTGGTATGGAAAGGTGACCGGTTGTTAACCCCGGCCAGCCCTGGCGAAACGCTCTTGAACACTTCCGGCGTCGTGGCTCGCAGAGAGAATGCAAAGAACGCGGTCTCTCGTGACTGCTCGGAGGATTGAACCGGGGGCAATGGAGATTGGATTTCAGGGGCTTCGGACGCCGGGCTGACGGCCGGAAAGTCGTCTGCATTCTCCAGGGGGCAGAAATCGGGTGAATTTGACGGGATTATTGTCCCCCCCTTCCGAAACTCATCTCTCTCCAATGGTGGGGTGCGGCTGTCTCTCTCCTCCGCGCTAGTAAGCCCCTCCGCCTGTGAAAAGGTAACACGTGGCAGCTTACGAAGCGACGCCTTCGAAGTGCCACTTGGGCAGTCGCCGATTCTTTGCGGCTCCTCTCCGGCGAGGGTGATTCCGGGCTCCGCCAGCAGAGTTCCGGAGGACATTCGGCAATCCATTTCCTCACTATCTCGTCGCTCTAGTTCCGCTCTCCGGTCGCCAAGCCCACCTTCTCTACTTTCTCTCGCCACTTTTGTTTCTTCCGCCGCAAAAGAGACCCTTGCTCTGGCCCGTTCGTCTCCAGAAGCGGAACCCCCGCGCTTGCCACCGGTTGATCTCTCCCGGTTGAAAGCAGGCGACCCCCCCACTTCTTCCTTAGCTTCTCGCAGGCCGCGCCTTTCTCCTTTGTCGCCGTTTCCCCCCCCGGCCAATTGGCAGTGTAAATGCGCTCCGTTCTGAAGCTGGGGGGTCGGTAGAAAGCTCCGATTGGCCGCAAGGAACGCGAAGGAAGGACTCCGGGTAATCAGGCTTGGGCTGCCTAACCCGGGGCTCTTAATCGGGCTGTTAAGTAGCAGTGTGAACGGGCTCCTGAGCATGCTCCGCCGAGTGGGGGACTCCATCCCGAGCGCCTCTTCACACTGCGCCTCCTGCGCTATCAGCCCCAGCCCAACTGGCTCTGCGGGCTGTCCGACGGGACCGGTGTGAACAGCCTCCAGCGCAGGGTGCTTATTCACAGCGGCCGAGATTGCTCTCCCGAGCGGCGAGGAGAACCCCGGGGAGGGAGCCGTGAGACTTAAGGCCCTGTTTTCGGACGGGGCGCTCATTTTCGGGCTGGGAAACTGGCGGGGGGGGCTGGCACAGGGCCCGGGTAAAGCGAACCCGAGTGTTGCGCGGGGCTTTGGAGATTTGGGCGGACTGGAGTTGACGCGGCTGAGGAGGTTTTGGTAGCGAGCGTTGAGCTTGTCCGTCTCCTCTCGTTGGCGCTCGAGTTGGTCCTCTAGCATCTGCAAGAAGAAGTACGAGTTTTGTCGAGTATTGTAGAATGCGTTTGAGCGGGACTGATTGATAGTGATGGTGACCCTAAACCACAGCCCCAATTGGTCATGTCCGTCTCTCTTCTGCTTTGACTCGTATCGCTTAGAGGATATTGCTGGAAGGTCAAGCTGCGAGAGGACTCCCAAGCAACCGTTAAGAAGTAAACACGAATTATAATATGATTGTCGATACGCCTGAGGATCGTAGCGGCCAGAAGTCTGAAAGGCCTCAGGGAGTGGAAAAACAATCTGCAACAAACCTACGAGGTTGCTGGCGCCCTCTTACGAATTTTGTTATCCAAACTGACTTCCAGGGACGTCCAACAAAACACTCCAAACCCCCGAAATCCCCGTCAAGACACCGTAAAACAACAGTCAAAACCCCTCAATATATTGGAGACTGGATTCTTGATTCTCCTCACTTGGATCTCCATCCGCAGCGACTGCGCGTCCGTCTCCGCCTGCGCGCTCTCTTCCTCTCGACCCATCTCGAGTATCTGCCTATCTTCCTCGAACCGTTTCCGCACTTCGTTGAGATCCTCCTCGAACCCTTTCTGCAGGTCCGCGCGCATCGTTTCGATGACGTCAGCCGCGCGCTCGGACGCCACGTCAGACTCGACGCGGTGCACCGCGGCGCAGTGCGCCTCGTTCTGCTTGATAGCGTACTCCAGCTCCGCAATACGCTCTTGGAGGGGGCCTATCCGCTCTTGCAAAGCGGCGACCGTCGCCTGCGCCTGTGAAGAGGGATACGTTATGGCATTAGCGGCTGCGTACCTGTAAAACATGATTACTTCTCAGAAACGAAAGTTCTTCTACCAAAGCGAATGTCGGTACTTACCAGTGGTGCCCACTTCCAGCCACGAGATGATCCACAACGCTTTCAGTGCGAAGATCTTGCACAACAAAGCTGACCTTTCCAATTAAAACAACCAGGAACGGGCAGAAATCGAAGATCCAAGCGTGATCCGAACCTTTGTCGAGATTGTCTGAGATCTCTTCAGAAGCAGTGTCAAAATGACCCCTTTCTCCGGCTCGCCTGTCAGCATGATTCTCCTCCATCCAACGTCTTAAGAATTGCAGAGGCGCTCAAAGATCACACCCAAGCCCATAACTGAGAGCCCAAAGGACCGGATGAAAACCTCCAAAGAGCATCACGTTCGTGAGTCTATTTACCTCGCGCATCTCGTCCGAATGCCGTGCCTCTCTTGCGTCCATCTCCTCTCTCAGCGCCTCCAACTCTCCTCCGTTCTCCTCTCCGTTTTCTTTCCCTCTTCTAGTTCGCTCCTCCTTCGCCCGCCTTTCCGCTGACGTCCTCCCAACCTCGCTCTTGCCCCCACCCGCAATTACGTCACCCTCTCCCCCGCCCTCTTCTTCGTGAGGCGGCGACGCAGGGAGCTCTTCCGTGTCTCCATCTCCAGTGACGTCACACTCTGCCACGTGGCCCTCCGCTACCTCCCGTTGTCTATCCTCATGTATCTCAGCCGTCGATGCACTCCTCTGAAGCGCTGCGACCGTTTCTTCGAGCTGACGGCACCGCTCTTGCCACACCGCCAGAGCCTCCGTTTGTTCGTCCCGCTCTAGTTTGTTGTTGGGCGCTAACGGTTCCTCCTCCGGTAACGGTTCGGTTGCCCCATCTGAGGTTCCGTCCGAACGCCGGACCGTCCGCTGACTGACTTCGCCATCCGACTCGGCGTCCAGATCAGAGGCGAGAGGTTCCGTTAGTTCAGTTGGTTCCGGTTCTAGACGTAGGGTCAAGCCATCACCCGGCAGAACCGAATCCTCTTCTCTTTCCCCGTCAAGTTCCACACGGCTTGTTCCACCAGTCTCTGCCCCCTCTAAAGAGAGTCGGCCGTCCGTTCTTCCCGCGGACTCGTAAGCCAAGCGCCCCGCGCTTGATCGGCGCGCGCGCGCGCTCGGAGGCGTCGCCTGCGCGCCCGCGCGTGTGAACTCCTCCTGGAGCCGCGCGAGCTGCCGCTCGTACTTGCGCTGCTCGGCCTCAATCGCGCGCGCGAGCTTGGCGTCCTCAACGGTCTTCCGCGCTTCGAGGGCGGCCTTGAACTCCGCAACGACCTGCGGAGATTGTCGAAGAGAGTTCACTATCCATCCTGCTCGGCTTGAAAATCGGTCAGCCAATGTGATCGAGATCTATTTTGATGAGGTCGCAGCATCTAAAATTTGTGTTGATAGGGACGGCATTTCGAAGTGGTCTAAGGGCTTTGATATGGTTACACTGCATAAAAGTTGACTGAACAAAACGAAGTTGACCAGTTTAAATGACACTGACATAACGGCTGAAGGCGGGAATAAAATGTAGTAGCATATCTCGCATGTTTCTCTAAGCAGGGAGTCGACTTATCATGATAAGAAGGCATTGCAACGAAGATCCATCTCAGAGACATCATGTAACAGGAGGTGAAAGGACTCACCTCTCTCCGGACGCTGATCTCCGTCTGCTCCGCCGTTCGCGCGTGCGCCCGCCGCGCCTCCTCGAGCGCCTCCTCAAGTGACGTCACCTGCTGACGTAAGCGCTCGCTCTCGTCCGCGAGCGCTGCAGCCCTCTCGTCTCCCGCGCCCCCAACGCGCGCGCTCAGTTCTCTGATGTGCTGACGTAGGCGCTGGTTCTCGTCCTCAACGGCCAACCGCCGTGCGATCTCGTCTTGGGTGTATCGGACGGCTGGGCTGGCGGGCTGACGTGGCGCCTTCGCGAGGCTCCACGGCTGCTGCACTGCCTCTACTTCGCAGAAGATCCTGCAGATAGGCAAAATGCCACACGGCCACGTTTGTTAATGCTGATGGTTTGGGATGACTTGAAGGCAAGATTGTCAAGAAAAGGGAAGGGTGTAAACCCTCATTGATCTTGGCGGATGAAAGCTGCCGGCTTCGAGACGTTATTTTGGTTGATCAGCATGGGCGAAGAACGAGGCAGGAGCATACCATCTGGTCCAATCCGATGAGTTTCAGCCCACGCCTTTTCATCGCCCAGACCTCGCGCCTAAGACTTCAATTTAGTTTCGAAATTGAACCCTCAAAGGGGCGTCGTGTGACCCTTAAACCACAGGCAACCAGATAGCCGGTATGCCCAATTCGGGATCGCTAAATTCGGTACCACGTGATTAAAGTCTTGACGACACAAGGACAGATTAATCTGCGAAGAGGCCGCCGCTGAGCGACGCATTTAGACGCCCTCTTCAAGCGAAAGCGCTCGCTAAGAGGCATCCCGATGGCACTCAAAACATCCCGATTCGCTCTGACCCGCTTCTTCATCTGCCACGTGTCACCAAATCCTCACCTGATCTTTGCGGCCTCCTTCGCCTTCTCTAGTTGGTACATCGTCTCGTCGAAGTCCTCCCGGTCAGGGCTCAGGCACAGCGCCAAAATCATGTTTCCCCGACCGCTCAGCTCCTCGCGAAACATGTACGAAATCTGCGCGGGGCAAGAAACCGGTCAGCGAAGATAAGCCGGTCAGTGAATGCTGGATAGTCAGTGAAGATCAGAATGTGGCGCTGGTTCTTCTGCCACTCGGCATAGGAAGGATCGAAGCTAATTCCAAGTTACCCGTTCCTAATCTCTTTTGTGTGGGTCGGGCGGTGGGGACAAATAAAAGCTGCTTTTATGCTACTACGTAACTGGAAATGGGGAGTTTTTCAAGTAAGATCCTACCTTGCGCCACCGGATTTTTAAAGACTTCGGATAATTGACCCAAACCCTGGAACTCAGAGCCCAAAATCAACAATGTGTATCATGTTTCTTCAAAGTCAGTCGGGGACCGGAAACCGGTGTTGGATCTCGAATGGCCTAGGCTCAAAATGCAATCGTTGCATTTAGACATCTGCGGTGCACCAGAGAGACCATAGACCAGAAAGGGTGGGGAATGATAGTCGCGGGTTGCGGCAGGTGGGCCGGTCCGTCAGTCGGAGGCTTAGACGTAAAAGCAAGGGGGTCGACCACTGTTCGTTCAGACCGAGAAGGACGTCTGCATTCTGCGACCGCACTGCACGGCGACTGACTCTCTCTCAATGCTGCACAAGTGGAGTATCTGTTCCGAATCCTGAGCAACAGTTCAGTCACCTAACGGACAGAGCCGGAAACTTGACAGACTTTCAGGTGCGTCCAATCACGATCGACAAAGCTGAAGTCACGTATGTTACATAAAGTGAATAGTAAGTGACTCTGCAGAAGAATCTATTTCCAAAGACCACTTCTTAAGAACTTCAACAAGATAAAAAGCAAACGAAGAAACAAACAAACAAACAAACAAAACCATATTTTCTCACCCTGCTGTCACGGCACGGCACCGGTTTTAGTGCCACTGGCTTTCGGTTTCGCAACCGGGCGGCCCTCCCGAGCGCTTCTTGGTTTTCGCCGGTCGCTTTTATGCACTGAAAGATGGTGGTCAGCGTGCTATTGATCCACCGGCTCTCGTGCAACCGGTCGCCCTGCATCCAAAGATCACGTGCTTTTTTGCAAGATTGGCACTTTGGTCGTATCAGGAATCTGCCAAGAAGTCTTGGGAAGATTTTGAGAGCAAATTGTGGTTTTCAGCCTTTTCCAATGCAATTCGAAGGAGAAAAGGAGAGAAAACAGCGCGAAAATTTTCTGAAAATATAATCGAGCTTCTCAAAAGGCTTTCTGTTTCGACTTGCATCGAATATTACCAAGTTTTGCCTAACGCTGTTCTTAAGCATTAGTAAGGTAGGTTCTTGGAATGCAAAGCGGATTGGAAAGCTAAGATGAGATATACCAGAACTTCAAGAGCATAATAGGACAGTTCCTAATCATTTCCGATTGATTTGAGATTTCCAACGTACTAAAAAAAAGGACCAGACACGAAAGCTTGCAGAATTTCTGTCTGTCTGGTAGTCTCCGCTCAAGGTTCTTTAACATCTGTGCGGGCCTAGTGGCTGACAGAGGCGACAAACCAGACAGGGTTTGAAAAGCATTTGTTCTCGTGAAGGACTCACTCCGAATTACCTCCTGGTGTGCCACAAAACACTCCCCTGCTATTTCCCGCCGCTCAAAATTACCAAGGTGGATGGAAGCAAATGAGCGGACAGAGTAGCTACAAACGTGGTAGCAGCTAACAGCGGCGGCCGGTCGTTACCTCGTTGTGCGTACGGCCCAGCCGCTCCGACCCGGCGAGATCCACGAAGCACAGCCGCGCGCGGGCTTCCGGGTCGCCAACGCCTGGGTCGCCAAGCCGCAGCGAGAAGATCGCGTGGCTTCGACTGCAGAAAGGAAAGCTCCTCTAGTTCGTCCGTTGTCGCATAGACTGATTCAAAATGTTTGTTGATAGATGCTCTTTCCCACTTGATCAACCTCTCCGACTATGGCTCGACAGCACCGAGAAGATTGTGTGGCTTCGACTGCAAATCGGAAAGCTCTTCATGGCCGTCCGTTGTCGCATCGAGTGATTCTAAATGTTTCTTGTCCGAAACTCTCTCGAAATTCTTTCCCACTTGATCAGCCTCTTCAATTTTGGCTCGACGGCAGCGTGAAGAATGCAAGGCTTGAAGAGCAGAAATCGCATTGACTGATTCTAGCTGGATCTCGTCCCCAACTTTGTCCCACTTGATCAGCTTCTCCGACTTTGGCTCGACAGCAGCATGAAGGGTGCAAAGCTCCAAAAGCAGAAAGGGAGCTTCACGAAACCTCAGATGTATGCGAGGCTAGAGCTACTAACTCCAGGTGACCGTATAGACTGCCACTCACGATTTCTGAAGAAGCCAAGTCTCCCCTAAACGAACACGCAAAACTTTGATTAAGTCTTTTGCGATTGCGTCAATTAGTGAACGCCTCCCGAACGTCTCGCTGACGTCAGCAACGTCACAATTCGGACGCACCTGGAGGAGGCGTTCAGGTCGGTCCGTTCCGTGTGTCTGTTCGCAAGCGCTGTCCGAAGCTCCGCTTTTCCGTGCTCCGCTGACCTCAGCACCACCTGCGAAGACAGACATCCCTGTCAGCGAGAGGAGAAACGTAGGATGATCTCCTTTCGACGGCCACTCAAGGTTTGTCCGTTACTTGACAAGAACCTCGCGTCAAGTCTGGGTGCTTAAGGTGGGCGTCTTGTGACCCTAAACGCCTGACGTCAAATGCGACGTCACAGTGAAACTCTCGAGCTTGCTGTCGCTACGAAATACGTCTGCCAATTTATCGCGGCGATTGCAAAGCGGATCTGGCCCTGGTTGCACTTTGCGGCGACCTGACGCCCTCTTTGAGTTCACACGCATCGATGCCCGCATCGCAGATTAATGCGGCCTTACCCCCCGACCTGAATTAGAAGGTGATGTTACGGTAATCTGCATCAATCAGATTGGACGCCGTAGAGGTGCATCCGAGCCGCCAAAAGAGCCGCCCAAGCTTTGAAGCATTCAACCCTGCAACTCTATAGTAACGTCCATTGGTCCCCTTGTGGAGACGTTTCCGCGACGTACACTATGCTTCAGAACGGCATGCCCTTGAGACTTCTTGGCAAGATAGAGTGCGCGACTCTCATGCCCCTTTGAGATGGTAATTGATCAAAGTGCTCCGCACTAAAGGAAGTAAGCAGGTTAAAACAAGGGAAAACGAGAATGAAGACAGAAGCAAAAAAGATCTACCTCTCGGGCTCCTTTGACGGTCCCGTTCCCTGTATTGAAGTCCAGCGCGCCCTGCCGCTTGCCGTGCATCGATTGTGGAGGCACTAGCAGATCGTAGAAACGGTCGTTCTGGTTCTCGATGACTGAGAAAGTGACGACAGTGGCGCCGGGGTGGCGGGAGAGGGAGGCAAAAATTGAGTCCATCGCCCTGCAACAAACAAGGGTAGAGATAAGGGGCTTGGACGGGGCGGAACGGAGCTTGCCACTAAGGATTCACGAACACGTTAAGATGGGAAACACAGCAGAGCTTGATGCCTCCATATGATTCTCGAACGCTAATCTTGGAGGGGTAAGTGGTTCCCAATGTTTGCGGGATGATGGTGTTCGGAGGGACGACCGACCGTGTTTGCTTGTGGACATCTGTCTCTCTGTATCTGACCAGCTTCGGCGGCTTACAGGGTTCCAGACTACTGGACGAACGGTGAGCCAAAATGGAAAACTTGAACGGTGTTCTTCTTTCAGGCAGTTTCTGCGGCCTTTACCCATCCCGTTATCGCTGTCCCTATCCGCACGTCAAGGCGACCAGTAGACTAGCATCAAGTGTTGCCAAGCTCAAGTCAGAAACGATCCGAGCTGCACGGATTCTGCAGCCAGTTACCAAAAGTCCTCTATGGCACATTTCTCACTCCGTCGTTTCCCATCTCAGAAATGTTTGAAGCAGGAAGGCAAAGGCAGCATACCTGGGGATGAGTCCCGCCCGTTGCCCCTCGCTCCCCACCATGGTGTATGATTTGCCGGCAGCCGTCATGCCAAACGCCCACACCACGCAGCTCTTGGCTTCGCTGAGGAATGCCCCCACTGGACCCGCGGTCGTGCCCCTGAAGAACTCTTCCTGCAATGCGCAATTTTTCTTTAGAACGACTGCTTGAGCTTAGTGAAGTTCGATCGTTGCTTGAGGATGCGTGCGTTCCTCAGTTATCTGGATCTGGCAAACCTCTGAGCGGAGTCAAAGTCTCAACATTGGCGTTTCGGAAAAGCTGCCCTAGCCAGGCCGTTTCTGAGTACCTATAAGCCACGTCTAATTTGCTGAGTCAGCCAAGACGCTGAACCAAGAACCGAGTGAGTGTTGCATTTTCTGTGAACTTCAGAACTTCGGTAATTCTCAGTTGAGACTTGCAATGCGTGGTTCTTCCATGGACAACTTTTCCCGAGCTCTTTTACATTTGATTGGACTGGCACTTACGTAAAACTTGTCTTCTTTCGAAGAACAATAGTCTCTTTTGAGCTTTACGCAGGTCTGCCCAATACCAACTTGGTAAGACAAAACAGACTGCACATACTCTCATCTCCTTTGAAGCTTGCAATGAAAAACGTTTGATACTGATCTTCTCAGCAGATGCCCCGTGAATACGCATTTCGTTACATTTGCATCATGCGAATTTGAGCTGCGTTCGTACCTGCGTGGATTCCGGCCCAAACACGTGAGTGAAACCCGGGCATGTCGCCTCCTTCTTGTTGCGCTTATGTGCCTCCGTCCCCTCCGGCACCGTCAGCTTCACCGTTGTGTCGTCCTCCTGTCTAACCCACTCCATCGAACCCCCCCCTTCATTTCCCTGCGCGAGGACCCCCCTGGACGGCCTGATTTTGGGATACACCGCCAGTGCTTCGCCTGATGACTTGAACCCTGGGAGTCTAGCGGGGGGGCTACGGGGCGGGCCCGAACCGGGGTGGAATTGCAAGGGGGGTATCCTTGGAGCCTTGGTCGCTAGGACCAGAGCACCCCCCGGGAAGGTGTCTTCCTCAGCAGGGGGGGCGTTCACACCGGCCGCTGAACTCATGCCCTGCTGGGTTGGAAAGCCAGGGAAGTGTTCTTGCCTTGAAAAGGCACACCCGACGCCCTTTGCTACTCCCCAATCCGAACTCAACCGCAGGCGCTTCCCGCCAGACCCTTCCTCCCCACCTTCTGCCCTCTCGTTGCTACTCCGCTTCTTCCCCCTCCCTTTCACTTCGCCCACCCCCCGTTCAGCCATTGTTTCCTCGCCAAGGACCTCGCTAACAGCTTCCTTCCACTTCCGAACGCTCTTGATCCTTCTCTCCGCAGAAGGGACCTCTTTCCCCTTCGGTGACTGCACATCCAAGCCCTTCTTTCTGGGCCCCAAGGATCCCCTCCCATCCTCATCCGGACCAATCTCCTGCTGCCACCTGTCATCTTCTGCAGCCTTCTTGGACCCCCCCACAGGGCTCCTGGGCGGCTTGCCCCCCCGCCCCTTTGTCCCTTTTTCCCTCCCGTCTCCACCCTCCCTTTCCAACCCCCCCAGAACGATTCCATCGACCCCAGCCCCCACGGACAGACCAATGCTTGGCCGCTTCCCCCCCGAGGCCTGGCGGCGCCTGGCGTCATGCTCGCGTGCTTTTTCAGCAGCCTGCGACTTTTGACACTTTCCTTTGTTGCCCGCCCCAACCAGATTTGGGTTGACCTCCTGAAAGAAGGCCCGTGTTTCTCCGCCGCCCTTGAATTTCTGCTGCTCTGTTTCTAATAACCCGCAATCACTGGGTTCTTTTTTAGCAAGAATGCCGGCAAATGCGCCGGCCAGGTTGCGCGGCCTCACTTTCCCGCCGCCGTTTGCGTTCTCGTCAGCCATAATGGCAATTGAGGCGCCCGTCAATTTCGAATCTAGTGGTTTACTGACTGGCCTGTGGAGTGCCTTCCCTGCATTTTGGTCGACAGGCACCTGTGAACGAGCGTAGCACAGCGTCTGTGATGATTTCAAATCTGCTTGCGAATTGCAATCCCCAATCTGGAAGAGGTGCACATTCATACATTTATGTAGCTCCACTTATCAAAAGGTTGGTCGCTTTGGCGCAAGGAAGGTGGAAGTCTGCAGCTTTGGACGTTACGCTATCAATTGTAACGCCTCTACGAAGACATCAGCTACCTAAAGTTTAGACGGTGTGGCCATAATGGTTTCCTCGAGTCATCCTGGCCAGATACTAGATTTATTGCAGTGTTGTCCAATTGCTTTCTGTAGCTGTGGTATACGTGCAATTCCTTCGAAAGTGCTGTTGCATACTTAAGTACTAGTGTAAGTCTGGACGTAATGAAAACAGCATTCAAAAATGTTCCAGGCACTTACGGAGACTCTAATTACTTCCACAATCACACAGTGCATTCTCTTGAGCTTTGTTGATGTTCCTGAGATCCACAGACAAGTCTTCAGTGTTGGCTGCTTCATGCAAGCTTGAACGAAAGAAGAAAGGATTCCCTTCAGGAATAGCGATAAAAATCAGGGCATTGATCAACAAAGTATAGGAGAAGGGGTTTGCTTACCTGACTCAGACCTTCAGGTTTACTTGTCCAAACCCAACAGTTTGGTCAATTGCAACCCCTGCATGGCAGTTTCTCCCGGTGCCTACTGCTATAACTGCCATGCCCAAACTCGGTCAGAGATGACACGACTTTGGACCGACTGGCTGCACGTCATGGTCAAACAAAAAGCAGTTCTTTGCGTCCACCATATCCACTTTGCGTTTGTCGAATCCTTTGAGGCAGTGAAGCACACAAGAAGGAATGCACTACCTGTTCGTAAGCTGCTCCCCGTGCCTCCTACCTGTACCCCGGACTCTTGTGTCTAGAACCTAGGTAGCTATACTCGAACAGGATCATTTGTTTCTCAACATCTGGCATCCTCTCTTGTGTTGGAGGTAGAGAAACATGCTCTCAAAAGCTGCAGCCGCGGTTCACAAGATCACCAGCAAGAATCGACTTTGAAAGTCAAGTTCCTGGCGCGGCCGTTGTCTGTGCCCCCTTTCCGACGTCGATGCCAGGGTGGAGGTTTGTCGTCCGTTCAATGAGCTGCGGGTTCGCTGTGGGTTAGGATCCTGGTTCGCGCCGAAGGAGAGGGTTAAGAATTAGGGTTCTGTGTTCTGGGCCCTGGAGGCTGGCACCTGCTCTGCCAGTGCCACCATGTTCTGGCACCTGTTCTTAGAACAGGATCGTGCTTCTCCTCTCGTTTCATGCCTTCCTACCTACTTCTGTTGCTTGCCACTTTCAAAGACCTCTTCGCAAGCTGCTTGGTATGCGTTGTCAAACAGCTGAGAGCTGTAGTGTCTTTGTCATGCCTTTATTGGCGTCCAAAGCAGAAGAGGGAGAAGCAACAATGAATGCAGGGTCCAGGATGACGGTCAGCTTCAGAAAAGCTGCAGCAAGTGCAGACTCAATTTCATGAACCATTGATGCACGCTCTCATGCTCCGATTGGCACGCACATAGCAAGATGTACCTGGGTTATTCTCGGAAGGGCTCCCCACTGACACCCCGTGGCAGCGCCCGGAGGCGCCACCTGTCGCGACCTGAGCGCGTGGGGAGGAGCGCGGTGGTGTACTTAGGACTCGTCCTTGTTGGCATCGTTCTTTTCGGAGCTGCGGTTCACAACGTCAGGTTCTTCTTCCGGCGGGGCAGTCAAGCAGGTGGGGATGGCAGAAACTTAGTGCTTGCTACTCAATCGCTTGATTCTAATACGCGGCAGAAGTAAGTTTTGGTTGTGCTAATTGCTCAATTCAAATTCAGTTCAATTGAACATCTGAAGCAAGCTTATGCCCCTTCCTTGTTGATCATGTTGTCAAAACTACCAGCACCACCAGTTTGTCAAGGTGACGAACAATTGAATTTTTCAGACGCACTTTGATACCAATACGGGCAACTTGACTTTTATCAGATCGCAGCCACCCCCAAGTCGAGCTCACCTTTGAATCAGCAATTCTTGGCAACTGCTGAAATTGCAGTGATCAAACTATGTCAATACAGTCCATTTTTCCCCCTGTTGCTTTGGTCAGCAAGGCTCTGGCCCAATAACCCTTGCTGAAAATCAGCTCTTGCAAGCAGGGTGGTCCTTCGAAACAGACATCAGGCAACTTTTGTTGATCTGTCCATTGTGGGATACAAAGTGGTTTCGCAGATGGCTTTAGAAACCGGAAAGAGATACCTTGCCAAGTTGCACTCTGCAGAGATTGGAATCCTTTGCTTTCCAAGAGCAAAATTTAAATCGATCCTCTTGCAATTCTGCAGATATTCTTTCAGAAGGTCAACTGGGAAACCTCCGTCTCAGCGGCGATACACAGCCCCACATCGGGATTGACACCGATGTTTTGCTCGATGGGGGTGAGGGCAGCAAGGAAGAGCACACGGCGCTTGCGGTGTCAAAAGAACGGAGCCTGGTAGAGGCAGGAGATGACACGACACTGTTTTTGGACTCTGGGGCGGAAGACAAACTACTTGGGGGGGTGGAAATGGCTGGTGAAATCAGAGGGGTTCACAGGGGTTCGAGCAACGCAGGGAAAGGGGCAGTCAAACGTGAGTGGGAGGAGGAGAAGGAAGTGCTTGACGAAGTTGAGATCGCTTTGCATAAACTAGATGGGGGAGCTGTTGAGAATTCTGATGAGGAGGACCGGGGAGCTGTGGGGGAGAAGGAGGGATCGGAGGAGTTCGAGATGGAGACTGATGCTGAGGGGGGGGCAATAGCCGCAGCAGGCAAGGGGGGAGCTGAAGAAGAATCGCGGAATGGTGACAAGAAGGTGGTCGGGAATGAAAAAGGGGCACCTGCGAAGAAGAAAAGTGGTCATTCTAGTTGCGAAACACACTTTGCCAGCTCAGCCAAGGCCCTCGCAGAGCCGAATTTGGAGACACGGCGGTTCGAATCGTTTGAGCTCAAGTATCTCGGCGCCCATGCTGCCGGAAAGGAGGGGTCGGGAGAGGGGCCAACGGGAGGGTTCAACGGGCGCCAGACGTGGGATGAAAGGGAAGAGAGCTTCCACATACAGGTGGGCAAGTGGTGGAGCCTCTGTTTGATACGCTGGCCTCTTGTAATAAATTGGGCGATTGAGAATTGTGCTTAGCAAGGACTCGACCTTTTTTCCATAGAATTGCAGTGAAGTGGAGTAAGGGGCGACTGTTGGTAGCATAAGACTTGCATGCCGATTCAAAGGAGGCTGGCAACCTTGTGAAAGCAACACGACAGCAGAACGAAGATTACCTTCGTCCCACCTTGGGAAAGTTGGGTGGAGGACCAGTCTCACAGAAGGGCGCCGAAAACTTCTTAGCACATGTACCTCTGAAGAGCAAACGAGGGCAAACGTTTCTCACATGAGCTTAATACACCGTTATTTGATGCCCTTGTCGCAACAGCGCATGCGTCCGACGTGCTTCATATATCGCCGCTCTCTGCGCCTTCTCCGCACCTTTCACACCCTGTTCTCTATCTCCAGGACCCGATGACGATTCATTGTGGCTTCATGGGCCCCGGCGGGGGATCTCTCCCCGGCTTTCACTTGGACCCCCAAGATTCGGACGCTCTCGCCAGCTGTCACATCGCCGTGGTCTCCGCAACTTTCGGGGCGTCCGACGCTATCCACTCCATCTCCAAGTCGCAGGCAAGGTGCAACAGTACCTCTTGTTGCTTCCCTCACGCTTCAGGGTGTCTTGGAATCCTCCGGCTTGTGGGGAAACAGTTGACGGTCATCCGTACTTCATGTTCAAATCTAGCCTTTCCATCTGAGCGTGCAAATATTTTTGAGATTTTGAGACGGGATGATATCGAGTAAACTCCGGGTCAAACGGTTTCCGATAGTCCAACCTCCCCAGTCACTGAAATCAGCGAGCTCTAAAAGCAAAGCCAGACAAGAATCGACAACCCGCTTTAACGTTCCCTCAATTGGACCACTCAATTCGCTCAGTATTGCTCCGTCTTCCAGATTGGTTCTGCAAGAGTGCGCAATGAGATCCCATTCCCCGTCCTGGCCTAAAGGGCGGCTTGTCTGTAGGCGGCTAGGAAATGGGTCGGAGCATCGGAACCCCCTAAAGACGCTCTTTCAGACGATTGTTCATCTGCTTCCAGCAGTTTGATTGACCGTGTCCTCTCTTGAAGTTCAGCTTTCGCTTCTCGGGCCACGGTTACAAGGGAGCAGAAGCCAGATTCTTGCTCGCCGGTCAAAGCTGCCCCTCTGAGATACACTGCTTTGCGTCAACCTGCCATCCGAAGCTTGCCATTCAAGTTTCGAGGCATCGTCCGGGCATGGTTTTCAATCCTGAGCCGTCGGATGCTTTCGATCGTCAATCGTACGGTCCAAGATTAGGAACCCTGTCCGAAAATTTGGAAAGCCAGTAGCAAGTTTCACAAACGGCTGTACGTATTCCATCAGGTTGCTCATCAGTTATTCCCTTCTGTAGGTCTCCGATCTCAGTCACCGTACCGTGTGCTTCGTCCTGTTTCTTGACGCCGCCTCGCTGGCCGCGATCAAGAAGGACAGGAAACCGGGCATCAGCAAAGACGGGCGCATCGGCATCTGGCGCCCCGTCGTGGTGCGGCCGCCGCTGCCGTACGACGATCCGCGGAGGATCGGAAAGGTAAGCTTCGCCTTTCCCCGGTAGCCAAGTTAACGAGATTCGCTAACCAGGTCCGCTTGCGGATACTTTTCAAAGTGGCCGGACTATAAACGGGGTGGTGGGCTTGATAAGGTTATGACCGAGGTCTGGCGCCAAGTGCTGGTGCGGCCACTGCTGCTGTACGACGATCGCTAGAGGACCGGAAAGGTAGCTTCCGCCCTGTTCTGCTGTCAGATTTTCTGGTTACCTGGATAGTCTCGGAAGGACTTTTGAAGGCGACATATTGTTGAGATTTAGCCGAGGTAGAATTTTAGGCAACTCGCTCACGGCGCGACCGCCGCTGCCATAGAGACAAGGTTGAACGACTCGCGTTCCGGCGGAAAGTCCCTGCTTTGCGGACCGCAGATAGGGGTTGGAAAAGAGGGAGAAGAGTAGCGTAAAGCAACGGGGCATAGTGGTCACGTACGTGAATCCGCCTTACCTTTTTGCGCGCGCTGTTTGGCTTCGAGACAGCCGCTGATCAGGACCATCCACGACCTGTGATTGCAAGCTGGGCAGAGAACCTGGAAGAGAAGAGAGAGTGAAACAGAAGGAAATGGGAAGAGACGAGAGATCGAAGTGCAAGACAAAACTGGAAGAGAGAAGAGAATAAACGAGAAGAGAGATTGCAAGAGAGGAGAAACTGAAACAGCAAGCTGAAAGTTCTTCGATGATCCTAAAGCTGCTGGCCCACCGGTTTCTCTCCGGGGCGCGTACAGCATAAGGTTCGATGCTAGTCAAATTTCCCTTGGCAGAAATAGTTTTCAATCAGACGGAATACATTCACGCACACAGAGATTGGTATCCAGATAGAAAAACGCGTCGTGACCGGAACTCCATTCTCTGCAGATACCAAAGCCGCTGGCCACCGGGTCTTTCCCTGTGCGCGCTACAGCATATGGCTCGACGCTACTTCTATTCTTACTTAGCAGGAAAAACATCTCCTGCGAACGGAATTCGTCCATAATTCACATGCACAGAAAGCGGTATTCACACAGCGAAACGCACTGTGACCGAAACCTTCTTTCTGCAGATACGAAAGCTGCTGGCCCACAGGGTCTCCCCGCGAGCGCGCCACAGCATATGGATCGACGTCCTGCCGACTGTTCTGACATGGAGATCACTTTCATGAAGCACAAACTCACAAGCGGGAAGACGCTGGAGAGGAAATGATCCAAAATTAGTCTCTGCAGATTCCGAAGCTGCTGACCCACCGGGTCTTCCCTCGGGCGCGCTACAGCATATGGATCGATGCCAAGCTAAAGCTGGCGCAGGATCCCCGGGCGGTGCTCGAGCGGTTTCTATGGCGGGAGAAGGCGGAGTTCGCGATCAGCAACCATTACGACAGGCATGACGTCAGGGAAGAGGTCAGCGGAATGCAGCAACTTTCGGTATGGCTTGAAGACTGGTTTGATAGCCCGATTGCGTGTGCGGATCATGTGCAAAATGCTTCATGCATGTGAGGACAGGCATGACGTCAGCGATTACGCACGCTGCTAATCCGTCACCAGCACAAGAAACGAACTGCCGGGGAGCAGATGAGAATCGTCGGTCATCTGCGCCCTTCAAGAAAATAGAAGGGTTTGAGCTCATGGTGCATTCCCGTGATTGTGTAAGTGGAGCAAACTGGATGCAGCATATGCCTAAAAGCAGCGTTTTTCATTCCGAGCGTCCTTTGCAGGTAGTGCAAAACAAGAAGCTGAACAAGTACGACCACCGGACGATCGACGAGCAGTACGAGACGTATGTGCGGGAAGGTCTGGACTCGTTCAATGGAAGCGATCCAAACAGACCTCTCTTGAGCTGTAAGAACGCGTACTGTTTGCCTAACTTCTCCTGATCGGCGTGCTTTGCTGTTCGCCTGTTAGTGCCGAAGAATCTTGGGTGCAGCAGAAACGATTAGTTTTCAACGAGTTTGATTGCACAATGACTACGTAGAATCAGTTTGTTCTGCTTGTGGCAAATTTTTCTTAGCCGACGCACGGTTGTACTAGAGGAGGGACTGCTAAATATCTCAAGCTCAACCCAAGCCTCAAGCCCTGTCATTGTACTCATTGAAATGGAAACTCGATTTAACCATGAGCATGCAAACCTGACCCATTTGCGGGCATTTCTGGACAATCTTCGATCTTTACGAGCATACTGTAGTACTTTGTGCCAACGGACTTGCTGTCCCACCTTCCCGTCTATTTCTCGCCCGCTCCTAGTAACGCCGGTTTCTAACCTCTGCAGACGTTCCGGAGGGTTCGCTGATCATCCGGGAGCACACGCCTATGTCCAACCTCTTCTCCTGCCTCTGGTTCAACGAAGTCGACCGCTTTACTTCGCGGGACCAGCTCAGTTTTGCACACACGTTTTTGAAGCTTACAAGGTCCAACCCAGACCGGAAGTTTAGGCTGAAGATGTTTCTAGATTGCGAAAGAAGAGCGACAGCGAAGTTGTATCGGCATAGGGCCGATGGAGGAAGCACGCAGAGGAAACGGACAGCACATTGAGACTCGGTTCTAGTCTTCTTGAGGTGAATCTGTTGCAGGTTCATAGAGTTTGCTTTCCGGCCTGCTTCAATCCTCGAATCGTCCCAGCCTGATTCGGAAAGGTCGAAATCAAAGCCCTTATAGCAGAATCAACTGATCAAAGTCTAGCAGCGGGGCGCTCATCCGACCGGCCAGACATCATGCGTGTTCACAATCGCAACGAGTGGGGGCCCTCAAGTCTGCTGTTGGGGCCTGCATCTTGCGAGGTTAAGACATGGGCGGGGCCGCCTACGCATGCTGGACGTCATCAAGACTATCAATCTGCGGAACCACTGCACGTTAATGCAGCTAGTCATGGTAGCAAACCGTATAGTAGCAATAGTGACCATGCATGACTTCATATGCAGCTGCTTCATTGCATCAATATGAATTTATGCATGATCAGCTCGCGCTTCACGTGTCCTAGATTGAATGATCACAGGCTTAAGGACTCTTTTTCAATTTTCGATAATTGTGGCCGCTCATGGTACTATAATAGTATAGATCGATTATCAAATTGGCGCTGCCAGGCGGCCATGCCATCGAGGGCGCACGCACTGAATTATTGCATGGTACAGGCGAACATACGCTGCAACCATATATATATATGCTCTTATATATGCTACAGCTACTGATGACTTGCCACGGGCCACATGATATATACGTATATATATATTATGATGGTGACTCAATTTGATGTGCGCGGCGCCGCGCGCCGGGGCCCTAGTAGGGCGGCAGCAGCATGCAGGCTAGATTCAGAGCTCGATCCGTATTAATAGATTCATGGCCATGGCCGGCGGCCCGGTGCACAGGCTCCGAAGTGTCGGATGGCCCGGCCGCGGCCCATATCAGTACGTCATGCATGCACTGTTCGAGCGCCTACTGAGCACTAATTCCTAGGTCAACCGTCAGTGGCGGAACCATGCATCCGACATTGCATATATACCCGCGGGCGGGCCCCACATACGGGTTTCAACCACATATACCGAAGTACCATAGCCTGTTTACTTCATGCGCGCAGTCACATACAAATACCGCAAAAACCATACAGGTGTCACATGACCCGGCGCCGCGCATCCTCCACAATGAGGCTTGGTGCTTCTCTGCGACCGTTGTCGCGTTCAAATGTATTGATTGACAGCGCAGCCACGAAACGCTTCTGCATGTGCAAGCTGGATTCACAATTTGGCAAGACGATTAAAGCTAACCAACCAATTGCGGTGCAAATACGTATGCTTGTGGGTCAACCTAGATCAGAACCTGCGCTAATTCCCTGTCTGCTCGGACAAATTCTGAGTGGGCGCCTATAGGACATTCTAGTGAGGTTGTTTCAACTTGATGGTATCATCATTACCTCAACACCGTATAAGAATCAAGCAAGAAGCTTGTTCCTCTATCCTGCATGCACTGTTCGCTCACGGCAACCAACGAAGTGTTCAAAGCACCTGGCCACACATGCCAGTAAGCGCTCCCAACCGCCCTATTGCCCTTTTCCGGACCAGATGTTCTCCCAAGGCGGCGCGGCTCCCTGCGCTGGAGCGGCTCTCTGCCCTGGAGCGGCTCTCTGCATCGGCTGTGCTGACTTTGCACCCTCGAGCAAAGGCACAGATTTCGTTCCCTCAATGGCAGGGCCCTCCGTCCGGGATTGCCGGGGGCCCGGGAGTTGCCGGCCCCTCCGACCAAAAAGTTTGCCAAAGAGGATCTTGAACACAAAGTGAGCAAGCTCACTGTAGAGATGGCCGCCGCGATCAAATAGCTGCGCGGAGAAGAGGACAACGTAAGCACACGGATTGGACCACTTGGCTGCACGAGGAATTCCGAGTAGCAGAGGAGCAGCAAAACAGATGGGTTGGGGTCCGACAGATTGGAACCTCTGGACCGCGGCCAGTCGCGAATAAGAGTCGCAAATAGACGCTTCTGACGGCATCATTCTGCAAGGAGAACTATCCGCAGCAAAAAATGTCTGTCCCAGGGTCAATTCGTAAAAAGGCTTGATGCGATCATGCAAGCCGGGAGGAAGAAACGTGCCTGAGCAAAATTTGAAATGAGGACGAAAAGCCAGGAACTCAAGATACTTGCATCACGTCCAACCAGAAATGGACAAAGCCAGCCAGCGCTCTTGCAAAAGCAAATGCCTACTCTAAGAAGTTTCTGGGGCACCAACTCACAAAGAGAAGCGCTGACATGAAGTTGTTCAACGCGTCCGTGTTTGCAGCAACCAGGAACGAGATGCGGCTGAAGAAGCCGACGATGTTGCCGAGGCTCTGGAGGAGCACCATCCACGAGGCAGGGGGCTGCTGAGGGGGGAGGTTATTCGGATCGTTTGGATCACCCCCCATTTGCCCACCCATCGGACCCATTCCCATTCCTCCCATTCCCATTCCCATTCCCATTCCCATCCCCATACCCCCTCCGTACCCCGCTGAACCATACGTGCCCATCCCCCCTCCATATTGTGAGCCGTACATACTACCCCCCCCGTATCCCCCTAAACCCCCTCCATAGCTGCTCCCCATGCCGCCATATCTGGAGTAGCCCGAACTCATTCCATATCCCCCCCCGCCGTAGCTGCTGCCATAACCCCCCGCGCCATAGCCGGTGCTCCCATATGAACCATAAGTGGACGTTCCTACACCCAGGCCAGTCCTTCTTATGCCATAGCCCCCTGCGCCATAAGCGCCTGTTTGAGTTTCCCAGGGCCTCCGGGGTTGGTCTGTCCCTAAAATGCTCCCACTAGTCCCGGCAACTGCGTTTGAAGTAGTTCCCGTGCGGCCATCCAGAAGCTTATCATCAGCAGCACCAGGGGAGGATGTGAATGGAGACCCTTCTGCCGTGGTTGCACCGGCCCGTTCCCAAGGTTTGGGACGAGGAGGGCCTGGACAAAAATGTAAGGAATATGATTCAGGGCAAAGTGATATAATGCTTATGACGACAATATGAGTACGTTGCTCATAACACTAATCAAAGAACTTGAGCCATCTAACCATCTTCAAAAACCTAAAACCTGCAGGAGCTGTAGAATCAACTACAACCGGTCAATGACAGGTAAAATACAATGATCATACGCAACTCTATGAGCAGGAATGTTGGTAAAAACCTATCAGTGGTGATAGCAATGGATTCCATCCACAAAGGTTACTCTTTTATCCAGGTCAACCACAATCTCTTGATCTTATTGCTGCTTGAATAGCCGCATGCTTGACCGGTCAAAGTTTAACAGTACAAAAGATGCATTGGAAACCGTTAGGTAAGCAAACTTAGCTAACCAGGACATGCAAATCGCACAGTAGAAGCTGAGAACCCTAACCTCAGCAAACGCTAGTACGGCACAGGTCATGCAGGTCAAACATTTGCAAGTTTGCAAACGAGAAGGCTGCTGATGCTCACATAGAAGAACCAGACTCATGCAGACCTGCATGCTGAACTCATCCAAAACTTAACGGATGCTGATAGAAGAAACCCTTACATAGAGACTCCCCTACTGCCATGTCGAAAGCATGTGAATGCTCAAGCTTTTTGCTTTAGAGGGAATACCTAGAACTATTAGAGGCTTGAAGAAGGTTCACAAAAGCCTATGTGCAGAAGTTGGCTGAAGAAGTGAAAGTCTTCAACATAACAGAACACGTGTTTATGAACCTGTTTCACGTCCACCGGACACCGGCAGTATTTGTGTTGTGAAATCTCTGACAGACTAAGGTCCATAAAAGTCTCTCACCTGACATGTTTTCTGCCACACACAACAATTTGTCAACTTGCCATGTTCCTCCTTGCCTCCCCCCAAGAAAGTGCCAACCCCCTTAGACCCCTTAGAGACCTCGAGCGCCTGCAGTCCAGCAGTCCTCTTACTGAACTTAGCTATGTACAGGCTTTCAGCCACAAGCGTTCCCTTCTGTTACTGTCTATTACATTGAAGTATTCCACATACGGGGCCAACGGATGTGAAACCTGCGCGGCCCTTACTTGCTTCAGACTCTGAAACGACAACCCCAAGAAGAAAGCCCCACAACACTTACAAGCTCAGTGTTGATGCTTCAATGCTCTCTTCTCCTTCATGTACAGAGAATCGTACCCCAAGAATGCAGGACGCCCCTCTCCTGATGAGCTTCCGTTGCAGACTAAAGACAAAGGCCAAGGCGCCTTTGTCAAACCCTAGACAGCATCCCACTTCCGGCAATCTGAGAAGAAACGTGACTTGGCACGAGATCCTGATATCGAGTCAACACTGACGACCGGTTAGCAAGCCCGGGGCTCGCTTGAGTGGTCGGTACGGCGTACCGAGAGGCTGGCCGGAGTCTGGAGTCCGTCGGCCAGCTGTACGTCACCTTCTGTGTTCAGCTATATAGGCTATAGCCTAGCTAAAACCTAGGCCTGCAAGGGTACCGTCACTTTGAAGTGGCACCCCCTTTATTAGGTGTTCTGTTGGGGGGGGGGGCTTGAGTTGCTTCAGCCAGCCGAAGGCGGGGAGGGGGGGGGGCCTAAAGGCCTTTGGCTTGCGGCGAAGCCCCAGCCGGATTTTAGCTGGAATACATGCTTTTTCATGCTAATATATTATCTTTTAGCCCACGGGTCTGAGATGGTATACCATGGATGTATAGAAGAAGCACTTTTCAACGGTAAAAAGGGGCGAAATTATGCATACGATAGTGCTTATGTCCAAAAAATCACTCGGGTGGTGGCTCTTTGGACCGGGGCCTTGACCGTTTCTGTGAAGGCAAGGCCGGGAGGGGGGGGGGGCTTGAGACCCTCCAGCCAAAGTGCCTCTAAAATACCTAACCGGGTGCCACTTCAAAGTGACGGTACCCCAACTTGTGCAAGGACAACCGGTGCGCAATCGAGCGATTGAGACACGGAGTCGAGACAGGCTACATACTGAACCCGGGGAAAGTCAGTGGGTATCATAGTAAATCATCCCCAATCTTGACGAGCATATCGTAGACTGTAATCTGGCAATTCCTGGCCGTTCGATCCACCGCAATTTGCGTCCTCGGAGAAGACGTGGCCGTTCGATAAGCATTGGGCGCATGATCTACATTGCTTGAGCAGCATCATTGCTCCTGCTGCACCAGTGCATCGATCAAGAAATCTGCTCATGAACCTCTGGGCAGCATTGCATTCTTCTTCACAACATTGCAGCAAACAAGCTTGAAATCAGGGGGTTTGAGACAGGCGGATTGGGGTCCGTGAAAATTTGCCTGTTGTAAGCTCTTTAAGGTAGGTCTATCAACAAAATAATGAATGTCGAGTGATCCTCATGGTTTTGAGCTTGTATTGCAGGAGAAAGAATGCCTTCCTTACAGGCTGCTTGGTAATGGTTTTCTCAGGCCGCACAGCCCCGCACCACCACTTATCATTTTGGCAGGCAACCTGTCCATGTTCGTACCTTTTTAATGGGAGCAACGGCGCGGCTTCTTGGCCACTTCTCATGGTTGCTCAGCGTCACCATTCTAAGATGTGCGCTGCCATATATGCCAGCCAGCTGTGCGTGCCAGCAACCTCGTCAGATTCTCCTTTCATCGATGGTTTTCTTTCTTCTGCAGCAATAATGGCTGTCTTCAACCTGCTCGCGATCCTTCTGCTGGCTGCCAGTGGTGGCGCCTTGGCTCAGGGCCCAAGGACCATTGGTTGCGTGTCCAGTTTCAACACTTCCACCAACTACTTTCCAGCGCTCTATCAGATTGACGTGTACTCGATCCCTCTAGGATCCAACCCTGTGATGGCACAGGACTTCAGTGTGCAATACAATGCTACATTCAAGGTCATCACTGATTCTTTCGTGAACGAGACCTACGTTGGGTACCAGGTATGGTCCTCAGTCTGACCTTCTCCTCATCATGTGCATTGACACTCGCGGGGGCATCTTGTCCTGGATTGTAATGACGTGGCCTTGTAATCTGGTGTCCAAGGCTTTCATGTGATTGTGTGGCAAACCACCAGAGACTGAACGCAACAGCAAAGAGACAGTTTGAACAATTTTCCAGATTGGATGTTACAATTTGAACCCTGTGATGCAGTGTGGGACACCCAGGCCTAACTACCGGCCGGCCTCCAACAAGGTCTTCCAGATTCCCCTTGCTGCCATTGGGACTGATTCCACTGTGCCAGGTAGGGTACTCTCTGTCGCTAAGACTCTCGCCGCTGCTCAGGCTTGTGCCTCCTGTAACCATCTGTTCCAGGGAATCAATGTAAGCTGCACGATCAGTATCATATTCTGAGATGAGAAGGCAATGTGCATCTGAAGGCCACCCTTGGTTTCAAAACACATTGATCATCTGTCAAACGATATACTGAGGCTATGGTGTCACGGAGGCTACTGCCAGTCAAGAAAGTCTATGGGTCCTCAAAGGCGCCAGTAGAATGCTGCTCGGCGTGCACTCTGCATCATATGTTAACTGACGCTCTTGTGTGTGGTTGCTTCTCCCCAACCCTTTGTCCCCAATCCATCACAGTGGGTTTCATTGAGGTGAGTGCCAGTTTCCGCTCTTACCAGCAATCACTTGGATTTTTAACCAGGCAAACAAACATGCTTCTGTTATGCATGCATGAATGATTGTCCTCGTGAGAAAACCAGTCGTGAATGTCTTCCTCCTCCGAGTCATTGTAGATTATTGTGATTATTTGAAGAAGATTCTATCATCTGCAAAAGCCGTTTGAAGCCGCTAGCAAGCGCTTGGTGGCATCAGGGGCCCGGTCAGTGGTCCTACAGGCCATCCTGCTTACGACTGCAACCATTTCCAAGTTCAACACACCCTTTCCAATCTTTGAACTTTGTAGTGACAAAGTCCAAACATGTAACAGTACCTATTTTCTTCTCACCACCTATTTTCTCCTCGTTGTCCTTTCTACAGCTGCTCGGTATCCAGAGCGCCCTCAAGTACATCGACCCCACCTACATCACCTCCCCCTGCATTCTCAAGCTCGTCAACGAGTCCGCCATCAGCTCGTTCGACACGTCTTTCCCAGCCAACAGGACCCTGATTGCTCAGCAGGAAGCCACTCTGGCTGGTGTCTTCAAGTCCAGCCAGAAGGCGTCCAACAACTCGCTGTGGATCCAGGTCGACGCTACGTCCGACCCTGGCCCGCTGAAGGTAAGAGCAGTAGCTTGCTCCTTCGCTCCCTTAGTCCTGTTGACCTTGCTGATTGTCTACTGTTGTGCTCTTGACTCTTATGCCCATGCTGCATGGAAGCGAATAGAGAAAGGGGCTTCTTTTCTGCACTTCCTCGTAGAGCAAAGCTGGGCAGCGGTAAAGCAAAGTTCTATTCGCAGTTCTGTTGCTAGATATGGTGTGAGCGCATCTTTCGCTCAACTCTGCAGAGAGCCGAGTGGATCAAGTACATTGCCCTGTTCTTCAACCTGGAGCCCGAAGCGAAGACCATCTATGATGAGGTAAGCCTTGTTGGGCGTGCTCCCTGATGCGATTTCCACCCTTCCACATCAACTCAGTGGATAGCCACTGATGTTGACTTGCTGTATTGTCTAACAGGAAGAGTTGGGCGAATTTTGTGAGTACCATCCATGTGTGTGTTATATGTACTGTCGTGTGTTAAGACACAGCTAATAAGTAAACAGTTTCTTTCTGCCTTCTTATGGTTTCAATGCCATTCTCAGCCGGTCTGATCCAGCAGATTGCCTTTTCATTTCTCTGAAGCACAGGGACTGCGTTTCAAAGACACAAATTGTCAAGATCCGCTTTGGAAAGGTCCACGCCCCGTTCTCCCCCCTTGGGTCAAATTAGTGCAAGTCCACGTTGACCAAAGTGATCTCAACCCACTGATTCTGCAAACAGCAGCCTGGCATATTTGACGCTAAGGGGATCTCCATATTCTTGTGCAGATTGCTACGCTGTACAACTGCCAGCGCACTGCTTATGCCAACAGGACCAACAAGCCGGTGGTTGCCTGGGTCAACTATTACCAGGTCGGTTAACAATCGTGGCCCGTTCATGAAGCCTCAAATTTGTCATGAAGATGCACAAAGTTCCTTGGCAGCCTCCGAGCATTTCATTTGCGTCCTTGCACTCATCTACTCAGCTGCGTGGAAGTGTTACCGAGCTTCGCATACCTCAAGAGAGTCACAACCCTCGAACCCGTGTACCGGTAGTTTGATAGAAAGGAGCAGTCGCAGCTTTGAAGGTTCAGACGGTCTAAAGCACTTGTGTGACTTGATTGCTCTCGTACTCCCAATATCTACGATCAAGAAAGGGTTTGGAACCTTTATATGCTTTCTGCAGAACGTTTGGACCATTTCCAACGCCACCTACAAGCTCCTCCTGACTGCCGACGCGGGGGGTGCCAACCTGCCCAACTCTTCCTACCGGTCATACAACCTGTCCGCAAACGCGACCGAAATCACCGCCTTCCAGACTGCCCTCCAGGTATAGGACTCTCAGCGAGTGATGGTTGTATTCTTTGCATTTGTCTGCTCGCTTTGAGGCGATCTGCATTGAGCTGTTTGTCTGCTCCAGAAACTTGCAGGTTTGATGCTGAGTGAAATGCAGACTCCGAGAATTCTTCGCAACTGACGTCTTTCGTGAGGTCATTTTCTAGTATTTACAAGGTTGTCTCGCCTTCCAACCGTTACGACAACGAACGGAAAAGACGAAACTCGTGCTGACCCTACTCTCAAGTCTCGAAAATCATGCGAATGATCCTGATTATCCGTATCATTGATTTCTTAATCGAACACGAGAAAGCAACGTCTTCCGTACTTCTAAGTTCTCGTGAACGCAAGTCGGTTGTGTGGGCCGCGGAAACCTTGGCTTCAGCCGATAACTTAGGCGCGAAACCCCGACTCAGCCTTAACTCAACCGCGAAACCTGGTTTCAAGCGGGTCACTTAGCCGTGAAACCCTCACTCAAGCCGCTTCATTCAGTCGCAAAACCTGGACTCAAGCCAGTTAACTCAACCGGGAAATTTAATTAGCGGTACCTGTTTCCCTGCAGAACGTGACCGTCGTCATTGACGAGTCTTACGCCGCAGACCCCTCCACGTACACAATCGCGAAGTTCCTGGCTAATGCCAGGCTGAACGGAACCGCCAACCCTCCTGCGTTCGTCACCAACAGACAGGTTTGGAGGGAGGACAAGACGGTCAGCCCTGGCGGCACCGGAGGACTTGGTGAGTAAGACAGTTATACAACTTGTCTTGCGTTTGCCTGGATATCGTTTTATACGACGTCCGACCGTGCAAAGCTCCCGAAACTGAGATTGGGCGAGCGGGACTGCTTCGAAGCCCTCTGGGATAAAAAGCAAAGGAAGGTTTCAAAGCATCCGCGAGGTTTAGCTGCAACTCAACGGAGCGGGGTTGCGGTCGAAAAGCAGGACGATGGATAGTCACGGCTGTTTGACAGACCACTCATCTGTATCCTCGTTGTTTCTTGCGCACGTTGACATCAACAGGGCGACCGTGCTTTTGCAAGCCTTTGACAGGGAACGGTAAAGGCGGTCTCATATCAGACGCACTCCACGAAGTCTTTATTTTGCGGCGCGGGCACCTCTCGACTGGCAAACCTAGGCAGCGGCTCGGCATTCCCCCGTACCTCTGCGCCCCTTCATCTGAAGGTGCCGACAAGATTCAATTGAAACGCCTTCACGCGTTCAGTCTGTCCAAAAGGAGCCTCTCTCTACGCAGCGTGGTTCGAGGAGGCGGTGGCCGAGCCTCAGGTCGTGCTGCAGGACCTCATCAGCGCCTTCTGGGGCACCAACACCACGCACACCTTCTTCCGCAACGTCGCCCAGGCAAGCTATTTGGACTTCTTCTGCTCTCGAAAGTTTGGTTTAGTATTTTGAGGGCAGCAAGCAGTGCAGCGAGGAACGCAGTGGAGGAAAGTGCATGCGCTCCCATTTCGTCGCTTCGGAGTACTCCTTGTTTCGACGGGTCTCGTACCACGGAATTCGGGGTACCAAACCCGACATCGTGGGTTTTCCTACTCTCTGATTACCTTTTGAGGAGCGAAAGTGTCACCCCCGTTGAGGTGATGAAGAAACAAAAGGATTCGTGAACCGGATACTACGAGAAAGCTTCCTCCTTTGGGGGCAAGGACCGGGGCGAGCGCTGAAGCAGCGAATTGGCGTAAATGTGTATTTCACGCCTTTTTCTGGGCGCTAATTTTGCAATCAGTGGCGGCTGTTCCTTACGGCTCTTCGGCGGCCGTACAGTAGGCTGCGGAAAACAGATACTGAGAAAACGCATTAGTGCGGGAGGTCAACCTTGATCCAGTAAAACCGTCAATCGGATGCTTGTTGACGTGTGGGTGCACTAGAAAAGGAGTGGAGTCGGTGCCGAAAACAGACGCGCTATTTGGCTGCCCTTCTGATATTTTGGACCTCATTGAACCCATCCGAATTGCGGATGCGTGCAAGCACACACCACCTTTAGCTAAAGTTTGCGCCGCTTTTTCTCTAAACGTTTCTTTCGTCCCCTACAGAACGAGACCATCATTGTCGCTGACCCTGCTCAGTGCCTGCGCAACGCCAACTCGACCAAGCCTGTGACCGTCGTCGCTTGCCCCCTTGCTCCGGCAGCTAACATCACGGCCAATGTGACTCTTCCTTAGATGGTAACAGCGTGTCTTTTAGAAAGCGTGCGCTTGCCGCTTGCTGCAAGGCGGAACAAGCCTAACTGAAGTGATTTAACCAGTTGGACATCCCCTCGCTAACTAGAATCGCCCTCAAGTTTACCGGTCCAGATTGTCGGTCGTATTTATTGCTCGTTGGTCAAAAATGGTCAACAACTTCATACGGAGTTGAGTCTTTTCTCGAACGGGAGTCTTTCAGTGCGACTTTTCTTCGCCAGAACTTGCAAGCTTGCGATATGCAAGGATTGGTGTCACTAATTGACTGTGTCCGACCCAACCTTCTTACCTGATTGATTGCTGACAGGCACTGCACTTATTATTTTAGCATCTGATGACGCTATCTTAATGGCTCAATGCACTCTTGTAGAGTTCCTCAAATGTTGGGCTAGCTTTTTGAACTTTAACAGATCGGCGAGCCGTACGTCGTTGATCATTAACAATACCGTCAGAGTGACTTGGTGCCATCACTGCCCGACGAATAGGTACATGTGCATGACCAACGTCAGTGGAGCAATGGTCTATAAGCACGCCTGATCGCCACTGGGACCGTCCTGCATGGATTCACGGGCCAACTGTCGGAAGCTTCGGGACGTTGCCCCAAGACCCTGACTGATGATGTCTCGAATTACCGGCATGAGCTAGACTGAGAAATTGCAAACATCATGCACAATTAATCTTTGAAGAATGTATATGAGCTCGTCGATGATTTTGTGCACCACGGGCTAATGATGGCCGTCAACAGCAATCATTGCATGCATGCCAGCTGCAAGTGACCGTCCGACAGCACGCCATGAACAGGCCCGCTGTATACGGTAGCGGCATGCATAGTACTTGCGCGATCTTTTGAATATTTGGACGCGTATCCTCTCGAAAGATGCATGGATTTTTGCACATGTGCCACCATATGCTGCCTCGCATCAAAAGCCTTGAAGTGCATGCACACAAGCTACCTAT